TTTCAGGTTAATGGCAAATTTGGAATTTATGTCAACAGATTATGGTTTTTGTTACTGCTTTTTTTATATATTAGGCTCTAGTACATGGAGGCCTTCACAGCTAGTCAAGAGAGAACAGCAGTGTCCATTTGTGTTCTATTGGTAGTGCTGTGAAGTGGTTAGAATTAAACATGAGAGGTAGCAAGGTTACAGGCAAAGAAAAAAACATGGTGTGTACCACCAAATATTTCTGAACAGAGTATGTTACCTGGTGAGCCAGAGGCTTTGAGGTCATATTCCTTGTGTTGGGTGACTCTCATCCTAGAGAGCTCTTGACTCTTGAAAGATCAACTAATATAAGGTGCTTTGGTTAGGGTGACTCAAACATTATTCATGTTTAAAAATAAATAAATGAATACAAATAGCGGGGACATTAGACAAGATGAAGTGCATATTCTTTCTTCTATCCATTGTAATAACTTGTTAGCATGAAAAAGAGTGTTTTGATGACCTAAATAGGATAAATACAATTCATGGCAAGCCAACAACCATTAATAGGTTTTTGATAGATGATATATTTCACTTGTGGTTAAGCACTCTCTTTCACAGCATCATTGCTTATATATTTCCTTTACATAGAGGTTTCCAGCATAGATCTGGGTTCTGTTGTACCAGATATCATAAAAACAGGTGAGCAGAGTCAAGAACTTCAGTATTTTGTTTGTAGGCTATGTTTTCATGGTCCTGTCAACCCCAGTCTTGTGGTAAGTTTTCTCATGGAATTATAGAATTGTTTGGGATGGAAGGGACCTTAAAGATCATTTAGTTCCAACCCCCCTGCCATGAGCTGGGACACCTTCCACTAGACCAGGTTTGTCAAAGCCCCATCCAAACTGGCCTTCGACACTTCCAAGGATGGGGCATCTACAACTTCTCTGGGCAACCTGTTCCAATGCCTCACCATGCTTAAAGAATTCCTTCCTGATATCTAATCTAAACCTACCCTCATTCGTCTTAAAGCCATTACCCCTTGTCCTATTGCTACAGGTCCTTGTAAAAAGTCCCTTTCCAACTCTCTTGTAACCTTCTTTAGGTACTGGAAGGTGCTATAAGGTCTCCCTGGAGCCTTCTCTTCTCCAGGCTGAACCACCCCCACTCTCTTGGCCTGTAATACTAATACTAGTTGAAACCTTTTTGAAGGGGAGAAGTCTGTTGGAGGGAAGCTAATGGGTTTCCCTATTTGTTTGTGTGGGGTTAAGTGCATGGACCTGTTTAAGTCACATATTTAATGCTTCTTTGTGTATGTTAGACCATCAGGTAGTTCAGTGTGGGCGACTGAGCCAGGCTTATTGCACCATTTCAAATTATTATTTCCAGACTTTCAAAATTAAATATAAAGGGTTTCAACTCTTCAATCCAAAATCCATCAAATCTGTTTAATAATAAAAAAAAAGTAGCTAGACAGTACTTTTGTGCAATTTTGCACCTTCTGTCTCGAATTAAAATATTTGGAGCTGTGGTGTCTGTTCTTTAATCCCCACCCCCACCAGTAATTTTGCTCATATGTTATCCATAAATCTTGTCTGTTTTAAATGTTCCAACTAATAGTTAAGCAAAACATTTAAGCATAATGATATGATTAACAGAGTCCATTTTTTGGCAGCCTGAATGCTGTTTTTCTTAAGCTAGCACTGCAGTTTATCCTGATTAGAGATATGAAGGAATTATTCTTCTTCTTGGAGGTTTTTTCTGGTTTTGTTGTTGTTGGGGTTTTTTTGTTTGCTTGTTTTCATAATACGAGGATTTAGGGGTTCTGCATTCATTTTGCAGGGATATAGTGTGTGATTTGGCTGGATCTTTGAAGTGGTAATATTATAAATCTCCCAATCACCATTGCCCAATCTGTTTTAGCATTCATGTGCCTAATTTCTGTTTGTAATCTGATTACTGGCTTGAGCTGCTCCGGCTTGCAGCCTATTGCTATGCATTTACTGTACTCCCTGGGACGCGATAGCCTGACAGCTCCAGTCCTCTGCTATGAAAAATCTCTACACGATATTGCTAAGACAGGCCTAGGGCTGTGGCTGGTGGAGAATTAGCTGCTATTGTAGTTTCTCTTTGCCGAATCCTTTGTTTCTGCAACCATGTTCAGAAATCCTTGGATCTCCAGCTATTTGGGAAATGTTAAATACTCTGAGGAGCAAGGTAAGAGTTCCAAGTAGATAGAAGAAAATGCAGTTCATTTGTGTGTGTTTAATCTCTTGTATGTATGTATGCATGTGTAAATATTGTTTGACTGGATCTTCTGCAGCTGCATTAGGTACTTTAGCAATCAGTATGCAGTTAGTCAAATAGGCTATTTCATTATTTCCTAAAGGGCACTTTTGAAAGATCCGATTAGATGGATCTTTTAATTAGCTTAGCATGCCACCGACTTAGGGCCTTTAAATATACTAAGTAACACTGGAAGGTTGCATCTACTTTTTCTTTTTGAATTCAGCATTTGAAATTTCTTCTGTGTTAAATTATGGATAGTGGTTTTATCCGGTAGCTTGTACCTAAGAGGGAGGGGAACTAGACTGAACAAATGGTTAAACTTGTGAGCAAGTTTGATTTACACTTCAGTGAATATACTCTTAATTTTAAATGCAAATACCTAAAATTTCTTTAATGTGATTATGAACATGTTTAGAATTCTTCAACAAAAGAAAGAACAAAATGCTGTTGCAAATATTTTCCTTCTGTGTATCAGGTGCTGTGAGGGTGGGTTTTTATCTTTAAATTAACCATTGAATAAGACTCTACTAAACTGATGTTTCTTTGTCGAGCATATTTATTGTCTTCTGATGCACAGTTGTTTTACTTTTCCTCCTGTGTTTGTATTTAAGACTTCTGTATTGTGGTAAGTAAGTTTTATTGGACTTTAATCCCCCCCACATGGTGTTTAATTTGAACAGGAGGAAATACATAAAATATCAAAACTGTGTAACAGAATATAATTGCCTGCTAGGTTTTTCTGTGTTTAGGGTGTGGGGGAAAATTGGAGCTCACCCCTGTGAAATACAGCAAAGTTTTAAGATGTTTTTGAGGCAGCATAAATGTGGTGTGTATGATGTTACTGAATGTGTTTAATGAGTAGCAAGAGCCAAACCGGCTTATGTGCCCCGTCTTAGCAGCCCTTCTCCCTCCCTGCTCCCAGGGAAGCAATGCAGGCTACTTTCTTCCTTTCTCATATTCCCTCCCCCGTTTTGGCTAGGGTAGGCAGAATTTCTCTGTGGTCTGCTTGTGGTTTTCATGGTGGACAGCTGTTTCAGTGCCAAAAATTCTAGGATGGGTTGTATCCTGTAGAACAGCTATAAATTTAAGATATGCCTGGTTCTGATTAGCTAAGCTGATACTGAGCTGGGCTTTGAAAGTTAGTGCATAGTCTTCTCAAAATCATGTAAATCTGGCCTTTTTTAGAGGATGCTTATGGCATGGAGTATTTTTTTTAATGTTGTAGTGTAAAATATAATGATTTATATACCATTCACACTGTTTTTCTTATAATACTCTGTTTTGGTTTAGCAAGATGTTTCTGTGTAATCTATGTGCTTTATTCTCCATTTAATGGAAAGAGAAAATGAATGTTAACAAAAACAGGAAAAAGTTGCCTATTAAAGTTGAAGAATGCTATTAGCAGAGCTGCTTGAAATCTGCAGTGACTTATAGCAGATGCCTAAAAAATGCTTTTTTGCACAATTTAAGCTTCTTTATCAAGCTGTTGAAATTCTTTGTTACTTTTTTTTACCTTTTTTTTTAATCTTTATACCTGTAGAGATGGCAGAAAGAAGTAAAAGAGGATAAAAAGTTTTGAAAGATATAGACAAAATATACGTTCTCTAAATTAAGACCCATATTGTCAGCTATAACTTGCATTATACCCTTTCTGCAAAAATAAGGGACATTCTACCCTGACTTTAAAATATTCTGCATAAGCAAAAAATTTTTGTTGCCAGTTAGATCGTCTTTGAAATAGTTAAATGATTGCTGTATCAGTGACCAACTGTTTATTAATTTAAGGTCTTGAGGTAGTAGATTTAATACAGATGGGGACAGAAGACAATTTTCCATTGGGAGTAAGTTATTAGTAGCTTTATGTACTTTTCAACAGCAGTCACTGACCAGGTGCTCCCCTGCTTCCTGGCCAGCAGTTCTCTAAGGTCTCTTAATAGCATCCTCGTTGTTGAATGGATGGAGGTGGAGATGGTACTTGGAGCACTGGACCCTTTGCCACTGGTTATCATTTAGACCCTCTGGTGATGCACTTGATTGCAGAAATGAAAAAGCTAAATCTGGGAGAGAGTGGGGAGATTGCCCATTGCTTGTTATAGTTCACAAAGGTTTGGGAACCTAGAGACTTTGTAATACATACTTTTTGAAAATGAGGCTGCATCTGCTCTCAGTGTAAACACGTGTTCCCCTGTGAAAGTAAAGCTAAGGCTTTACTTCTAAGGCTTTTCAGAAAAAAACATGGGAGCTTCCAAACAGTAGACAGCAATTTCTGTCTGTCATGGATGGTGTAATGCTGTTGCAACATATCCTCAGCTGGACATCTCTTGACTTCTGCAGTGAATATGCAGTTTTTATATGCTAGGCTGCAGCCAAAAAGGCTCTTTCTGCTTGCAGCATTTCTCATTTGCAGAGTGCATCATAAACATGTCTACTGTCCATTTTATAAGCTGGGAAACTGAAGTTAAAATGATCATCCCAGACTGCAGTACTACACCACAGATACTAAGAGTAGAACATGGCAGTTCCATAAAGCATTGATGTTTTTAGGATGTCTACTGTCTGTACTCATTTTTGCAAGGCTTGGGTTTATCACCATCTTGGACATGCCAGATTGTGCTGTTTGCCTAGAGAAAAGGCACAGTCTTTTGCAGTGGAAAGGCTATGTTTGGAGGCTACAACCTAGTTTACCAAAAGTTCCCCGTTTATTACAGCATCTTCACAATGTTGTGTTTTTTTCTATTTTGCAGATTTTGCCAAGGGAAACTCAGTCAGATTTAAACCTTCACGATTGCTCCTACGGAAGAGAGCGTTAAGGTAAGGTGGAGCTCGTCTTGCCTGGTGAAGATCACTGGTTGCAGTAACTTAGTCATTGCTTGAATCTGCATTTATTCTTTTGTCAGGAAAAGTGATTATTGGTCCTCTCACAGGACCAAGCTCTGGCACAGAGCAGATGCTCTGAACGAGTATTGAAAAGACCAACTGTCTCCTAAGTAATGTTAAAATCTATAGCTGGAATTGCTCAGGGAAAAGTCCCACTCTGCACTGGGCCTCCTGCCACTGCAGTGCACATTTTTACTTGTGTGGCATGGACACAATACAGAGCAGTGAACCAGCTTGGAGTACTTACCTGTCTGTAAAAGAAGGTGGCTGAAGTGGATGAATTAATTATACATCCTTGCAGGGAGCTTTGTCAGCAATCTAGGGGAGAGAGATGAGGCAGGACACTGCAGAGATGAATGGACAGGTGGTGTTGCTGTTTCCTTGCAGGGCTGTGCTGCCTTGTGCCTGCATTCTTAGGACGTGGTTCCACGAGCCTGAATAAGGGGATACAGCTAAGCAAGATGGCAAATCATGTTCCCTCTCTCTTCCCATCCTTGCTCCAGCTGGTTTTGGTGTCCACATTTGTGCTTACTGGACCCATTCATAATGGCACAGAGAAGAGATCAGGGCGTTGGGAACTGACTCTTGCCCCAGCAACCAGCTGTGATGTTGGCTCAGCTGCACAGGAATCTGCCAGCACACAGCACACAGGCTCACTTTGCAAACTTCTTTTCAGTCAAGGCACACCACCTGGAGCACACCTGATTCCCTGTCACATTGTTTCTTATGTGCTGTAGAGAGATGGAGAGAATAGGTGTACAAGACACACTGTGTTATGAAAGCAGGTAGGGGAAAGTAGAAATAAGAGTAGCAGAGGAGGATATGACTGTAGAATGGACTTTTTACTCAAGGGTCCAGGGAAGAAAATTCTCCTGGAGGTAGGGAAAGAGGAGTGAACACCAAGAACCTAGCTGGCAGGTATCCAAGTGGATTTTGTATTTCAATCATAAAATCTCAGTATATCCTGTAGCTTTAAGTGGGATGGCAGGTCAGTGTTACCAAGTGGCATTTGGATCAAACTTCTGGTTGCTTTTGGGCATGTAACTAGGTTAGTGGGGCAGCTATTTAGAAACTGTATGCTGCTGCAGCAGCAGCAGATGAAGTTTGCAGCCTGGAATCCCTGATGTATAGAATACCACCCACACTTACTTTGGAAGTTGGCAGATCAGTATAACTACTGAGACTGTCAAGTACTCTACTAATGCTGCATTATACAATGTTTTTTAAGAAAAACTATTGAGATTGTGAAATATTGTTGCCTGTGTCTTAACAGGAATCATCTGAATTCCTGAACACTGGAGAGTATAATGAGTTTGTTGGGAACCTGAGGCCAAACCACACACAAATCCTGTGTGAAACAAACTGGTGGGACCTCTTGCTGTTGATTGCATTTCATGAACCATGGTCACAGGCTATGTTTCAGGCAAGGAAAGGAAGAGAAATTCCTCTTTCAGTTCCAGATTTAACAGGGACTTTAAGAAAGAAGTCTTGCAAATTTCTAATTTATTTTTTTTTTCATTTAGAGAACCTCTTGTATGCCTTAATTATTTTAATAATGAATGTGCAGAGCCTAGCTGGTAAGTGTGGAAATTCATGGTACTGAACATATCTGTTCAGATCTGCACCTAAATTTATAACATGACTAGATGTAGCTGTGATATTTCTAGAAGAGAGTTGTGGATGAGTTTGAAGGTACAATATATCTGGCAATTCAAGTCTGACTATCTGACTCTACTTAAGCAACTGAATTGATGCAACTCCTTCTTCAGCAGAGCAACTAATAAAGCAGGGAGCCATATGGATATTTCTCTTTGAGAAAAAAGGGAAAAAGGGAAGTCTTGGTGTGGAATTACTTATGAGTTTATTTTTTTAAAAAACACTTATGAGTAGTGTCCTGTAATTTTATTTTCGGAGGTTTTTTGGTTTTGGGTTTTTTTTACTATTTGGAATTGCTTTAATATTGTTCCAACTCAATTTGGATTCCTAATGAATGTTCTTACTGAATACTGTGACATGTCCTAAATATGCCTACTTTCATTTTTAGAACTAATTTGATATATGAGCCTATAAATACCCAATTGTTTGGCTTGACTCTGTCGCCTTCAGAGCAGTGCTCTGTCTCCGAATCCTCTGTGTGTGTGAAAGCAATGTTATTATATATTGGATTAAAACTTTTTGGTTTTTTCTTGTGCAAATACTTAAACCACGCAATGCCACCTGCAGCTTAGCTAGAGAGAGGAAAAAAAGCCTCTGAAGAGATAAAACTCCTCAACTGTGGATTAAATAGTATATGAAAATTGTTAATCCTTTAAAAAATAAACAAGTAAATAGATGTTGACAGTCTGTCCAGAGGGAAATGGAAAATGAGGGCATAGGGAAAACTATGAAGGGACTTTCACAAAGCAAATAACCTGTGATGCTGTGTAGCCCAGTGAGGGTTAAACTTAGGAAGTTTGTAGTTATTTAAAGAATTTTAGTGAAATCTACCAGTGAGCAAAGGTTGCAAGCCACCCTCTGTACAAAGGAGGAGGGAGCTCACATACAGGAAGAACTGGATGACCTTGAGGAGTAGTAGAAAAAGGATGTAATGTAATAACACTAAGTGCACAGTTGTGCATTGGGGGCTGATAAATTTTTCTGTCACTTGCAACTGATGAAAGCAAAACCTTGGCATATTAGTTTCTGACACAGGATTGAGCAGCCCATATAATATAGATATAAAAAGGCAAATGTGTTGTAGATCCCAGCATTCCTATTTTTGTAAGATACTGCTAAGACCCAGGTCTGGAATCAAGACTATCCAATTCTGGTCATGATATGCAGAAAAAGATGACTTAAAACTAGAATAAGCAGAGAACATTTTTACAGATAATCAATGAAACTGAGAACCTGTTTTGAGGAAGCTAAGTACATATGGGTAACTTCTGTTACAAAAAATAAGGAAGGTAAATAACAACACTGGCACGAGAATGAATGGATGGAAACCCAGTAAAAGACATTTAGACTGAGTTTTGATTATCTCTGGCTTCAGAGTCCCTGGAACTCCCTGGAGTGAACCTAACTAGTTTATAGTACTTAAGGATTGTTGAGGAATCCACAAGCAATCCAATAATCCTGTTCTTTTTAGAACCAGCAGGCTAGTGCCAGTCTTGATTCTGTATGATTTTACCCTTGGAAATTCATGTAGGAATGAGACATAGTGGTCGGTGTTAGTGCATAATTAATTTAAACAAGGCTTTTGCTGTATGAGTGAATGCTTTTCTGTACAGAGTCCCATGTTTATGGAAACTTAAGGTGCTGCACTGTCACAAGCATTATGGAAGCAAGTGGAGATGCTGCTAAATAAAGCACAGATATTCAAAAGTCATGAGCTGGGTCCCTCGACCCTTTTGTCTTAAGTAATCAAATTGATTTGACAAAATAAATTTGGGGTGGTTTATAGCCTTAGGCCAATATTATTTTCATTTTTCAAACTCATGCTCAGCCAAAAGGAGTAGAAACTGCTTTCAAGTGGGAACTGGGAATCTCTCCACCCAGGGTTCTCCAGAAGCTGTGTCTGTAAGAAAATGACATATTGTGAAACTAGTAAGAATCATGAGTATTGGCAGTGTGGGGTTAGGCATATACAAACGTGCTGTTAACTGTCTGAGTCTCTGCCCAGTGTCAGATGACACATGCACCCATTTTCTTGTGGCTGCTTTGTGCTATTTTTTTACTGTATTTTGGGTTTTGTTTAGTTCAATTACAGTGTTTTTGCCCAGTAAGGATACAGTTTTCTCTAATGGACAGCTTATTGCAGCTCTTCATCTTCTATTTGCAATTTTCTGTAGTGACTAACATTGCTTTTCTTGGCAGTACCTGGAATAATTTCTATAAGTGCAGTTGTTGGACACAATTTGCAGCAGGTGGCAGGGTGCCTGGATGTGACACAGCCCAGTTTCTTCATTGTCATTTCAAGGATCTTATTCTCTCCTCAATGTCCTACAAAGGAATATTATTTATAATCGATAAACCTACAAATAGTAATAGGAGTTAATGAAAAATGTTACTAGTCATTATATGTTAAAACTCTATCCAATGAGAAATGTTCTTTTGAAATAATGAGTACAGAATTCTTTTTTTCCTGTTTTTTTCTTTTCTAACCAAATAACTTTGGGGGAAAAGTGCTATTTAAAATCTGTCCTAGGAAGGATTTTCTAACAGTAAGACTGCATAGTTTTTCTTATCAGAATGACAGTAAATCATAGGGCACATCACTACCATGGCAAAATGAAGAGCCTAGGATCACTGTGAGGATTTTTATCTGTTACACCTGTCTACCCAATTTACTAAACGTTTTAAGACCAGTATAAATTTTCTTATACCCAGTTGAGATAGCTTAGAAGTCATAATGCCAGAATACAGCAGTTTGCTCTCTATTTTTCATAATCAGAGAAAAAAAATCTTGCTTACAAGGAGGAACACTTCCTCCCAAAAAATCTCTATAGACAGTTTAGTATCTACTTTAGACCATTATGACACCTACATTTTACAGTTAAAATGTGTATATTTAATGGACATATTTAAAGATATATTTTGTTTCACCTAAGTGAACATTTTTCTTGTTTTGAAAATACATAGTATAAAATTAAATTACCTGACTGATGCTCATATTAATGTATTATAAACCATGTAAAATCCAGAGAACAGTGCAGTAACAATAGGGCAGTCATGCAGAAGGCTGCTAGGTGGAGTGTACATACAGTACTGCATTTGATGACATATGTTTTAATATTTATGGAGAACCATTTGATACAGATTATTTCAAATGTAATTGCTTAGTATAGCATTTTGAAGGCAGTCTCCAGTCAGTAATTTAATGCAAAAATGTGTCACAGTCAGTTCCAAACAAGTTTCAAATTATGTTAGGTTTGGCTTTCTGATTTTCTTTGGGTTATTTCTTAGCTCATTCCTATGGAAAATATTTTCTTGCATATCTGTGTTAGGCTATCTTGCAGTAAATTGATTACATCTTGGCTTTACTTCATTTGTAGCAGAAATATCCACAGTTCTGTAAAACAGATGTTGCTTTCAGTTTTCAGAAGGAGTTCTCACTTGAAGATAAAGAAGAACTTGCAAACAGCACAAAGGATATTGATGCTAATCTCTTAGCAGTACTTCCGAAAGGTAAGTAAAGGAGATGCATTACTAACACAAGTGGTAATTTAACAGCATGTGAAGTTTAGTTTATGCAAGTACAAGGCACAGTTAAAATTACTCAGGCACAAATGTTTTGTAGATGAATTTTCTTTTTCATGTGAAGTATGCATAAGGGGTGAAGTAAGGGATGAACAACAGTGCTCTTTTATAAGGCCTTGCTATCTCTGCTTCATAAAGTTCAGCTTTGTTTACCTAGTTTTCAATAGGCTAAGAAGTAGTTGAAATTCAAAACTTCAGAGAGGCTTCTTTGTACAGTTAGATTAATCCTGAAATCAAAATATTAACTTGACTTGTAGTCATAGCTCTTTCCAGTCCCCTTGGTTGGTAGAATTATTGTGCTTGCATGACCAACTGACTACACTGAGTTTTTGTCTTACGTGCTAAAGGAGCTGCAGTAAGTACAGGCTTTGGTTTCGGTTTCTTTGTTCTTAAACTTCTGTCTTAATCTGAATAACTTCTGAAGAAAACAGCAGTTCCATATTTATCATTTGACACAGTTGAGGTAGAAACGAGAGTTAATTCTCTTGAATTATTTAGAGAAAATCACAGTATGCTTGAGTTTATATTCTGTAGCAAATGTTTTTGAAAGATTTCTGAATTCTATAAGAAATATTTCACCTTAATTTAAGGACTTTTTAAAACATTTTCATGAGGTGCACTCCAAATGTATTTGTTGGTTTTTATTCTGGGACAAGACATGGAACAATACTGCTTTTCCTGATTACTGGTGTTCTAAGGTAAATTTTGTTTGGAATATCTACACTTACCAGAATTAAGATGCCTCTTGGCAGTCTACCCTGGAGGGTATTCTACCATAGCATCCAGCTCAATAAAAATAAAATAAAGCCTCAGGTTTGGGGCTGTTTCTGAACTGTGGCTGTTCTTCCTCTTGCCCTTAAGTGACCACTGGTGCTTACAAATTGTGTTGCCATGAATTAATCTAGATAAGGAGCTTTTACTGTGAAATTAATTATTTTAAGCTTCTTAATCTTTTCCTGTGTGCTGAATCAGATCTTTGTATTACTTTTTAGGTAGAAGTGTTGTTACTGTTCTAACACTGCCATGGTGTAGTTTCTGATGGTCACATGGAAAAAACATCCCATGAACAGATGGAAATTGGTACCAACCTATTCAAATTGCAAATTAAAAAGGAGAAACCTGGTCACCTAAGTTTACCAGGGTCAACCAGTATCCTTGGGAGTGAAATGTCTCCAACTGGCTTTCATGTTTTGAAGTAAAATATTTTATTCATCAAAAAGAAATTATTAGAGTAGAAAAATTCCTGCATTTAATCTTTTTTTGGGTGGGAGGGGTTTGCTTCTTTTTCCTCACCTCATGAAAAGAAGAACTGCTTTTACAGAAAAACTCTGCAGATGTTGGCCAACTAAGCTGAAATTACTGTCTGTAATCCCAAGTGTTGAAAAAGTGTAAGGCAACATAGAGTAGTCCCATGCTATTTTTGTCCTATGTTGTTTGGGAAGGTGTTGGAGAGATTCTTCATGGGACCAGTGCTCTTTTTAGGACTGCAAAGTGGTAGTAGAATCTCTGGAACTTCAGCTAACATGTAGCCAAGAGGGTGTTGAGCTAATGCTTCTGGGAGTTCTTTGGATGTTCCACATTTCTTGTATGTAGACAACTTATGGTCACGTTTCCTTTTCTGGGGGTGGGGGGAAAGGGAAGAAGACTTTTGCTATTATATGAAGCTATGCTTTAGAACTTTACTAAAGTTGTATAAAAGATCTGTTATCTGATGATGGTTTTAATGACTGTATAAATTGGTGACTAGGGAAGAAAAATTATTATGATTTGGATGGAATGTCGTTTTAATAACCGTGAGCTTTAGAGGCCTATGTCTGAAGTGACAGAACAATTATGGGTTTTGTTTTGACCTTTTTATGTGTGTATAGCCAACAGATAGAACAGAAATACTCCAATAGCTAGAGGAGCACACTTAAACAGAAGTAGATTTGGGGAGGTTAGAGCAAAGTATTTATGAGAAATCATTTCCTTTGGTGTGAATCTGAAATGAAGGCTGGTTTCATAGGGGTGAGTTCTCTGTTCGTTACGGTTCCACTGCTAGCACAGCTTGAGTGGGCAGAGCAACAGTGGAAACTGCCCGTGCACTGAGTGAAAAGTCTGTGAAAACACAATGTAAGGGCTCATCTTTGCTTTGGTGTTGGTTCAGAATGCAAATTTTGCATTGCCCAAGTCCAGTTTCTATCCATGTCCAGAGATGTATGCTTGGAATTTACTGACTTTCAGTGGCTATCTTGCACTGTCAACTTGGTCAGTAGCATAAGCATAGACTTCAATCTGCTTTGCTGCAGATGCTGAACTGAGGCATGGAAGAGGTGTCCCCTGGGTTAGCTCAGGATGCCCTGTTAGCACTGTTAAGTATCTGCATCCTGAGCTACTCTGCATCAAATGTGTACATGTTAAATTTTTTCATGGTGTGATCACAATCTGAGCTAACCTGGCTTCAGAAATTAGGTTGGCTAGCTAAAGTTTGCTTTCTGTAGAAATACAGACTAAAGGAGTTGTTTTTGAGAGTGGTCATGTTCGTTTCTTTTCTCTGTTCATTACACATTCTCAGCAGGCATTCATCAGTAGCCTCAGACATTGTGTTCATATCTCATTCATTTGCATCTTTGAGTCACAATCAGAATATGTTCATTCTTGCTGATCCAAGACATTTTATCTGTAGTCCTAGTGGCTTTTCAGCACATAAGGCTGATATGACATCCAGTGTCAGTTGTATCTATGAGGTATGAGCACTGGTATTAACTACAGCAGACTTCCTGGATGTGTCAGCTGAGCTGAAACCCTGACCTAGCTATGCCTGTATGTTCTTGCAGTACAGGGAAGGGAGAGAAGGGAAGGTGCATCTGACCTTTAAAAGGGTGGTGTTTCAATAATGTTTATCTTGTAAGTATCTAGAGCAATGAACTCTGGTAGCAAAGAAGATAGATTTACTTCTGCAGTAGAGCAATGTCTGCCAGTCAGTCCTGACTCATCAGGCGTTTCTGATGGCAATCTCTGGCCAATTTAGCCGGCTGTAGATTTTAGCTTGCTTTGACTTTTTATCCCTGGGTCAACATGGTTAGAACCCCGGAGGTGCATTGCATCAGAATAGGTGCACAGAGCTTTTAGAACTACATATTTACCAAGGCAGTGATTCCAGGGGGTGGATGTATGTGCATGTGTGTGTGTTAGGTGCACACACACACTCATCCCCGTCCACTGCATCCTTTGACAACCTGGATGGTTTCTCTTCCTGGTGGTAAGAAGTCACACCACACTTGTTTACGTAGCAGTTACTGCTCCAGCGTGGTTTCCATGTGCACATACATGTCTATATATAGGGATTACTTCATCTATCATGCCTCCTCTTGGTTCACTACTGTTTGAACTGCAGCAGCTGTCTAGTAGCACATAACAGCGGCAAAAAGTTTAGAGGAAGTGAAGAAAAGTATGACCAATTTAAACTACAAGGGAAAGTTAGCAAAGTAGAAGGTAATTATCCATGCAGGAATATCATGACACTGTAATTTTCACTCTAGCAATGAGTCACTGGGATTCTTGGGATTTGCTCAATATAGGGGAGTGGAGGAAAGTAAGAATTAGGGGGGACACTGTTTCTCTTTAAACATAGTCAGTCCCTGACTTCTGTGTAGACAAGAAAAGCAGTAATTCCATACTACCTGATTTTGAAACAGGTTACCATGGCATGTGAGCTTGATCTCAGCTAACCAAAATACAACTTGTCCAGTATATGCTATGTCTTGAAAACTGCTAGGATACAATAGCAGATTCGAGTTCAGCTTGGAATAACCTGGAGGTGGTGATTACACCTGTGTGCCTAATGCACTTTTGACAACACAAGCTTAATAAACTAGGAAAACGAGGAAAATGCTCATTTCCTGATGAAAGCTATTTCAAAACTCTGAACTTTATTTTACTGTTCCTTCTTATTCTAAAGCATTTTAGCAAGTTTCTGAAACCTAGTAGCTTATGAACTACATAATCTTTTGTTGTCTCAGTTTCAGAATTAAGAAAACTGTTTGAACCAAACAACCGAGATTTTTTGGAAATGAAAAGGTAAAAAAGTCTTTGGCCTGTAAAACAAGACACGCAACTTGTTTTGTAACCTCCTCTTAGAAACTGTCCCTTCAAATTTTCAAGATGCCTGTTTTCACATTTTTCACATATTTTTCAGAAAAGAGAGAATAGCTAGACGCTTAGAGGGAATTGAAAATGATACACAACCTATGCTTCTACAAAACTGCCCAGGTTCAGTCACACACCGTTTACTAGAGGAAGATACACCAAGATATATGCGTGCGACTGATCCATACAGTCCCCACCTAGGTAAGCAGCATGTTGCACTCAGTCTTGCATTGCTGAATTACTTCATGTTTACTACCCTATCAGTTGTGCAGTCCAGTCCGTGGAAAAGAGTTCTACAGAAAAACTGTGTCAGGGTGGGGGTTTTTTTTGACTTGCCTTGTAAGTCTCCAGCTGTCTTATTTGAAAAAAGTTGATTATCCTTATTGTTTTAAAACAACAATGTGAGAACTATTAATTATTAAAGAGTTACTTCTTAAAGAAGTATTACTAATACACATTTCTTAATCATTTGTATGTGCTTTTGGAGACTAAAGTGCAAAAATATAATGTATCTATGCAGTCATTTTGATTTGTAAGAAAAGGGGAAGCTTTTAGTTCACTTGATTTGAGTGATGGGTGGGATACTTGGAGTTTTGGGATGGACTTGCTCATATATGTTGTACTTTTGACAGGAAGATCAAATGAAGAGGAGGAAACTTCAGATTCTTCTGTAGAAAAACAACCCAGATCATCCAGATACCGATCAGAAATCACAGGAGGTAACACAGAGCCCTTGTATAGTACAGGAAACATGGATGTCCAGGAACTAGAGTCAAAAGCAGAGAGAATAGCTAGGTACAAGGCAGAGAGGCGACGCCAGCTGGCAGAAAAGTATGGATTATCTCTTGATTCTGATTTGGATTCTGACTACTCATCCAGATATACGCGAGCAAGGAAAGATCCCGACAGTGGGGAAAGAAAGGGAGTGAAAAGTGAAAGGCAAGATGATGAAAACAAGGACTATGCCACCCTTTATTTGTCCAGGACTGAGACAAAGGGGTCAAAGAGTGTAATTTCTGATTCCAAAGAGTACTCCAGCCGTGAAGAAAAAGACGACCTCTCAAATGAAAAGAGTGCTAGAAAAGCAGATGATGACAGTGCCATTAGACAGGCTTCTGACCCTTCAGCAAACTTGGATAGTTCTGCCTCCCTTTCACTTTCTGTACGAGAATCTTCCTCCTATAACGAAGTGCCAATACCACCAAAGCAAACCCCCAGAGAGTCCCTTTCTTCACCAAAGCGGGCAGCCTCACCCATCCACTTGCAGAATGACCAGCCCTTGCACAGTAACAGCAGACAAAGGTAAGTATTATTTTTATTTTGTTTGTTTTACAGTGAATTCCTTTATCTTAATCACCTTCTGCAGCAAGGTCTACAGTACTCATGAGAATGTATATATTACCCCTGAAGAATGTATTTAGTGGCTGTATTGGCTCATAGTGTGCTTCTGATACAAGGAAGTGGATATATATTTCTCTGATTAGCTATGACCTTGGTTTCACTTTTCCTTTATAGAATTTTTGCTAAAATTAGGCCCTCTGGGGGAAGAAGTGGAATAACTGATGTTTAAGATATTTACACAAATTAGCAATTGAAGGAGTTATGTGGTTCTAAATCTGATTTTGTTTTTTTTTAATAACCTATTATAGCAAGCCTTTTAACTTTTTTTCATCTATATCCTGTGATTGTTTGGGTGGGGGCTTACAAGTAAAGGTAAGATGTTTCTCAGTGAAGATTTTAATATCTTCACGATGAGTCCTGCCAAAATAAACAGTTATCAGAGTTAAAAGCTGAACAGTGTCTTAGGTCAGTTGAAATAATAGTTGATTTCTTTTCATGATGTGAAAGCGTGAAAACCTTTTTTGAACTGTGATAGTCATTCTTTCAGATAATGTCAAGCATAGATGTGCATGAAGGGGCAGAGGGGAAAGTTAAAATTCCATGATGAATTGCTTCATATTTGACAAATTTACTACAGTAATAGGGTAACCAGATATTTCCAGAAGGACAAAAATTATTTTTCATTAATTTCACATTATAATTTCACAGTGTATTGTGAAAATGCTGTCAAATTCTTATGGTGACTGAAAACAATGCGTGAATAAGAACTTTTAAAAAGTATGATTTTCTCTATGTGTGATTCTTTAATTTCTAGGTAGATAGATGGATAGAAAATAAAAACCATAAAAACTTAAGTTAAAATGTTGCAATTAAAAATGATGTAAATTACAATGAGAACTTAATTGTAAACACATCTGCGTCATGCAGTGTTGACTGTTTCTAAGAAACTGAAACAACTGGTATAAACTAAACCATTTATGCTTTCCATAGAGCACAAGGGGACTCAATCCCCAGGTGTGAGAAATCAGGAAAAGAAGGCAAGAGACCAGCATGAATGAATTGATTTTAAAGGGCAGGAAGCAAATGCACAGGCAGTTGAAGCAGGGACAGGTATTATGGGAAGAGTATAGGGACACTGCCCGTTGTGTAGGGTTGGGCTTAGGAAGGCCAAGGCAAAGCTGAAGCTGAGCTTGGCAAGGATGCAAAGAATAAAAAGAAGGACTTCTACAGGTATGTTAGCCAGAAAAGGAAGGTCAAAGAAACCAAGACTGGCAGACTGGTAACAATGGACGAGCAGAAGGCTGAGATACTCAACTACTTTTTTGCCTCAGTCTCCAATGGCAACATCTCTTCCCACACTGAGCTCAGTGGTGCAGTTGACACTCCCAAAGGATGGGATATCATCCAGAGTGGTATGGACAAGCTCAAGAAGTGGGCCCACGGGAACCTCATAAGGGATTCAGTAAAGCCAAGTGCAAGGTCCTGCACCTGGGCCAGGCAAGCCCCAGTTCCAAATACAGTCTGTGGGATGAAGGGATTGAGAGCAGCCCTGACATGAAAAGCTTTGCAGAACTGGTGGATGAAAAGCTAGACATGAACTGGCAATGTTCACTTGCAGCCCAGAAAGCCAACCCTGTCCTGGGCTGCAAAAAAGGTGTGGCCAGCAGGTCAAGGGAGGTGATTCTGCCCTCCTACTCCACTCTCATGAGATCCCACCTGGAGTACTGCATCCACCTCTCGAGTCCTCAGCACAAGAAAGACATAGACCTGTTGGAATGAGTCCAGAGGAGGACCACAAAAATCATCAGAGGGATGGAGCACCCCTACTATGAGGAAAGGCTTGAGAGAGTTGGGGTTGTTCAGCCTGGACAAGAGCAAGCTCCTGGGAGACCTTATTGCAGCGTTTCAGTGCTTAACAGGGTCTTATAAGAAAGATGGGGACAGACTTTTTAACAGGGCCTGTTGCAATAGGACCGGGGGGAATGCTTTTGAACTAAAAAAGGGTATATTGAGACTAGATTTAAGAAAGAAATTTTTTACAAGAGAGATGATAAAACAGACAGACACTGTCCAGAGAGGAGGTAGACACCCTATCTCTGAAAACATTCAAGGTGATGTTTGATGAGACTCTGAGTAATGTGGACAAAATGACCTTTAAAGGTCCTGTCCAACCCAGACTATTCTGTGATTCTGTGAATAAGTAATAACTTAGTACAAATTGCTGACTCCATTATCTCTAATTTCAGATTCTTTCTGAGATGAGGCTTTGGACAGTATTTGCATAAAACAAGTTTCCCATAATTACTGTCATTTTTATCTTTTGAAGAAAATCATCTGCACCCATCAAGATAAGCAGCCAGGAGCTTAAACCTAGGATTTGGTCCCTTGTTTGGACACACATATAGGCAATAGGTGGTATTTTAAAGGTTGAGTTGCCAAGAGTTTGTTCTTTACTACCCTCAACACTTCCAGTGCCAGTGTGTACTCACTGGTGTGTTATTCAGAGATGTAACAATAACCTCTCAGAAACTCTTGTCCTTGTTTCTGCGTAGTAAAGAAGTCATCATCTGTTTCCATGCAGTCCATTTGAAGTTACTGTATGGTGCTGTTCTATAAGGCTATTTGCACAACAGAAATAAGGGCTAACTCCAGTTTTTCAGGTGACTGCTCTTCTGAAGTCAGTTCCATATTATATGGGCTGCAATTATTTTTTTTTTGTTAAATTTAAATTTCCTGAGTTCAAATTGAAAAACAAATGCAGCTTGCTTTGGAATACATCTGAAGGCTTTGTGCCTTCAGTCCTAAGAAGATTTAATAATTAATCCTGTTACCCATCACTGAGAAGACAACAAAGTGCTGAGAAGGTATCATTTGACATTGCCTGCATTTGGCTGCTGAAATGGCTGATTAACTGTAAATTCAAAATGTGGCTTGTGTTCTTCTGACTGCACTCTTCAAAGGATGAATGATCAAGTACAAATAATTGCTGCTTGGGCCATGCCCACTATAAAAATGTGCCAAAGTACACATTAAGAGAGGAGAAGGAAGTTCCCTCCCTTCAGAGCAACTACAGGTGCTGAGGCAGCTTCTGTGAAAGGGTTTTATCTTCTATTTGGTCAGTTCCATTAGGGATTCAAAAACATTTGGAAAAACAAAAGATGTTTCAACACTTGGTGTTTGTCTTTGTTCTAAGATTGATTTGGATACAGTGACAACTGTAGGTGAGTTCTCAAATTTAAACTTATTTGCAGCAAATACGCTGTTATCTTAAGAACAGTTGTTGATTTGACCTTTTTCAGTTATTTTTCTTTAAAGACCAACTAACAAAAATTGAAGTAGATTATCTGGAGCTTGATTTGGGATTTTAATCCCAAATGGCTCTACTGCAATGCGAAAAGTTCTTTCAGATGTACCTCCAGGTAATGGAAAGCATCCTGGACTCTTGTCACCCTAGGGGAGTAAGTTTGTAAACGTTAATGTGGCAGGACAGCCTGTGCTTGCAACGTTAAAAGTATTTGATGTGATCTACTGTTGCTGAGGAATTTTAGGTGAAGGGGGGGCATTAGGAAAGGATTTGAGAAACTGTATATAGGAAGTCTGTGAGCACCCTTTCCTGCAGAGCTTTTTGAGGTTTGTAGTGTCTTGTTTCTTTTTATGCTTTCAATGCCAGAACGGAAACTGAATAAAGTCAGGATTAAATTAGGGGTCACTTTTTTCTTAAACTTTTCCTTTCCCAAGTCACCTAGTGATGCAGCATGTTTTACTTGTGCTAAGTAAAGCTTTTGTGAGTAGGATTACAAGAGGAGGGAGGAGTTCCAAATGCTCCCTAGAATTTCTTAGGAAGTATGATGTAGCCATCTGAATTTTTAGCTTCATTGAATTCCTGTTACTACTTTGTTTTGGATGCAGCAGTCTTTACCACTTTAACCACAAATTAAATTAATGGTTTTAACACCTTTTTCAGATGTCTTTGCACAAACTGACCTGCAATGGCAAAGGGCAAAAATAAGGTGTAGTTGCTTTCACTTCTGAAGTTTTGGACAATGTACACTTGGTAAAGTTACTTTTGCAGAATCTTTACCATTTAGAACACTTTCTAGATCTCTGTGGAATTAATATGATAGTTTGTTTCACAGTTTACCGCCTTTGAATTTGATTAGTGTGCATTGCTTTTGTTTTCTTGAGCAGTCCTCTGCAATTGAGTAGATAGCAATAAAAAGCAGTGGGAGGGAGGATCAGGAGAAATGGGAATATGTGTTGAGTTCTCAAAGTTACCTGAAGTTCTGTTTTTCTGTAGTAGTGCAGGGAAAGCAAAACCTGAATGGTTTCTTCAGAAAGATTCGGAAGGGGACACACCTTCACTTATCAGCTGGCCCTCCAGGTATCATAAAACATAGCTGTGTGGCTAACAATCAGATTACAAACCTCCCCTTTATTTCCCTTTACTCTGTATTCATTTAACACTTGTCTTTAATTTTCCTTTAACAGCAGCAAGTTAGAAAGTGTTATTTCATGTGGATAAAGAGCTGTTGAAATTTTTTGAAGCATCTACTTTTATTCTAACTTATGACCAGTTGGTATTTTGATGGAGTACAAATGCCCCGAGCTTCTTCCACAGCTACTATCATTCTGGCTTCCACTAAATTTTATAACTTCTTATTTGATCCCACTTTGTACTCTGCAAACAGCAGATTTGTATAACATACACCAATCCATCTTAGCATTCCCTACAACTAATTCCTTCAATTCCAAAAGAGATGGTACAAGAGAGGTAAAAAAAAAAAAGAACTATAACTGGAAAAGTAAAGCAAGATCTTGATCAAAGCTACAGGCAGCTGCTTTCTTCCGATTTGGTAACACATACAGTGATCCCACCATGAAAAACATTGTAGGAAGACTCTTTTTCATGTTTCTGATTAAAGTAATTCTTATAACCCAGTACTAATACCAGCATGGATGTTCTGGGGAATGCTTGGTACATGTAGTTAAAAAAATACTTTTTCAGACTTATACTCTTCCTGTGCTTAAGTAACTTTGAGGAGTTTCCCTGATAAGTGCATCAATCCTCAGAGGTAAGAAGCACCAAAATATTACAAAGATTGGTGTTTAAGATAACTTTGGGTATCCTCAATTATCCTCTTAGATAATTTACCTCCTTTTTTTCCTAACTTTTCTTTTTTCATAACTCAAACTCCAAAAAGTCTGTTGGTAGCAAGCCTGGAATTGCACATACTTCGAGCTGGATTACTTACTTTCAATTAGGGAGCTAGTATCCCATTTTATTTGAGTTTCTCTCCTTCCTCAGAATTAAAATAATTTTTTATACCCGTTTGGGAGGGGAGGAAGTACAGGGCTTTCATTTTTAATACTGTGTGTGTGTTATCTACGAACGCCCTGTAAGCTGTCTGAGCTCTTGGCGAGGCTGTAAAACTGCTGGAGAGCTGCCCTGCAGTGACAGTCACAGAGCAAAGGCTACCTCTGGCTGCACGTGCTTACCTTCCCTTGTGCTGTTGCAGTCATTTTCTAAAGGTGAAATATGACTGTTTTGCATGGATATTACACAAGTCCAGAGGTGTTTCTAGAAAACACACTGAAGGTAACTTTTGGGAACATTCCTGTAAGTTTTTGCATGTTAGAATGTAATGAAACCTTTTAAAATAGAAAGCCTGTTTTGGTTTCTAAATCCCTTTCTTCTCTGCAAGGTCTCTGAAGAGCAACAGCCATGCCATAGTTTCACTTTGGACTTTAAGGCTTGCCCTTTCAACATTTTTTCTCGCTACTGAAATAGGTTACACTACATATAACATTTTGGGTGTCTTATATGATACACAAAAGCACAGGTAAACCAGTCTCTGGCAAACCATCTGAAAGATTGGATGGAGATAAGATATTTTTCATCTCTTTTTCCAATGCAGCAACGTCTTGATATGACATAAGCTGCCCAGTGTTTAGACATCTTCAAAAATCTGACTTCATACATGATTGCCAGCAGAATTTGCAATTTCAGGCTGAACCACACACTTTGATAATATAAAATGCGGTTTTGATCATCTTGTTTGTTTGAGACTATGGGTATGTGCTATTTGACAGACACAGTTGTGATCTCATGGGAACATGCTGTATGTTTTCAGAGCTTGCACAGTTACCTTCTCAGGAGTCATGCATGTTCGAGGGCCTGTGAATCCCTGAAGTGTTTATGAGCAATATTACTGCTAAGATTTGTGGGGAGGAAGGGGTTGCATCATAAGATTGCTTTCTTTTATGTGTTGATTTTTTTTTTTTATTTTAATACAATGTTGCTGTCTGTACCCTCAGTAGGTATCTGTGTTCCTTTCCAGATTGGGTATTGCTGTTCACAGCTTTAATCCTTTTTCTTTCTTAAAGAGTAAAAGTTAGAGAGAAATTGGTGAAAGAGGAAAGTGCTCGTGGAAGCCCTGAACTTGTCACAGACACAGTATCTCAGAGAAAATCCCATCCAGTTCCAGCCCACTACATGCCTCTTCAGACAGAAACGTCTGCCTTTGATAGGGTCATAAATCAACCCGTCAGTTCCGTCCGCCAACCAATACATGGCTATATTCAGCCTGCTGGCATTGCTCACACAGCTCAGCTGATGGCAGCAGAAGAACCAGAAAACATCCCTGCTGGCAGCCTCCTCCCACCAGACAGTGTTAGCCTCATAACAAAATCGTCAGCAGCCACTGCATCAGAGGGTGAAAAGAAAGAAGCACCCTGTTATGGAACAAAACCTGATGAAGAAGATTCCTTGGAGGGTGATCAGGCTTCCAAAGGCAGAAGACCAATTTTGCCATCTGAGATTCGCAAGCAAGGGAAGAACCATGAGGGCCTCTTCGGAGGAGGAGAATTAGATACCCCTGTGGGGAGTTCCTCATTCGCAAGCAAGCCGAAAGTTAACTCAGAAGTTCAGAGAGAGTTGGAGTGCAATAAGAGGCAGGCCCCCGAGCAGCAGTTTAAGCCCCCTGAGAACATAGAAAGGAGCGAAGCTGTTATGTACATACAGAGTGGATCTGTATTGCAGCCTGCCAAGGCAAAGGCTCCTGTTTGGAAAGTGTCAACAACAAAGCACAAGGTCCTGACTCGCTCAATGTCTGACTATACTGTGACTCCTAAGCTAGAAGCTTTTAAAAATAAGGACAGCATGGAAGCAAATCCACCAAATGGTGAGATTGGCATGGTTGACACGAAAGTCTCTGTTGCCCAGCTCCGTAATGTCTTTCTGGAGAGTGCTAATGCCAACAAGAAAACGGAACTGTAGGTGACATTTCAGTTGTATTTTCGTGTGAAACTTGCACGTCCTTGGCAAAAATTACACACACTCAACAGCAGTTGTGTTCAGCACTTAAAGCACACAGCTTAGCTCTCACCAGTGTGTATTGGAGGCTGAGATGGTTTGGATCCCGCTTTTGTGCTTCTGCTTGCTGGTGCAAGTTGTGATGTGGGGTAGCTGGAATGTGTACGTCCATGCATGTTACCGGAGGAGCATGCAGAGTGGTCTCCAGTGAATTGTTGAGATGCTTACATCTATGCTTTACTTCTCTCTCCTGTTTTCTTTCCTATGCGCTCTCTGTCGTGCGATCTGAAAGTGAATCTCGGTCTGAGATGTCAACGGCAGGTAGTACTGTGTCTGCCAATGGTGACCGTGGGCCACGAAAGGCGAGGCGCTATTTTACTCCTGGTGAAAATAGAAAGACTTCTGAGAGGTTTAAAACTCAACCTATAACATCAGCAGAACGAAAGGAGACAGATAGGTAGGCACGTATGTAGCTCTGTGTAGCATTCTAGTGCAGGTAGACATGAACAAGCTTGTGAAAAGATTTGTTCATTTATTAGCACAAACATTTTGCAAGGTTATTGTTTCTCTTTAAAAACAACCCAGTATTTGTTATAGCTCCTTAGAAAATGAAACCCAAAACACCCCTGACAAAACCAATTTGTTGCAAATTCCTTCCGTGTGAAATGGTGAACAGTGAATCATCATAATGGTGAACAGTGAATCATCATAAAGTACTGTAGCTGTCTGGTTCTGTCTAATAAATGCTTTTGGTTTTATATAAAGAGTTTCCATCTATTCTGCTTTATCATTTACCCTTTTTGTAAACTACCAAAGCAACCTATTTTATGTTAAAAGAGCTGGCAGCAAATCTTAGACTTTTATCTTCTGCAAAATGAACTAGAAATCATTTTCCTTCACTGTATTTAGGTTTGCTTGCAGTTGCTTGCCTTTATGCTTTACTAAAGGATGTTCCCAAGTGGACACTGTTGAAACTTGAAAAATAGATTAATTCTTGCCATTCTTAAGACTTTTGAGGTCCTGCTACTTCAGACTGAATTTGAATTTCATTTTTGATGTCTTGTTTCAAGCTAACTTTTTTTCTGTTTGATAATTTTTCACTAGGTCAATTTTCAGTGCAGAAATACCAACTGCTGAAGGTAGGTTACTGTACTGTTTTCTAAGGAAGAAATGGGAGCAAATGTATTTTTTGTTTTAACTGAAGAACTGTTTGATAATGCAAACAAAATACACTTGAAAATAACTATCTTTAATGTGAAGTACCAATTTTCTTTGGACCATGTCTACTACAGACTTGATTTCAAATTCATTTAGGGCCACAAGTCTGTCTATGGATCCCAAATTTCATATGGGAGTTGGAGCAGGAATGGCTTGACACTTTTCAACATAGTGGGGGTTGGTTTTTTTCCTAATTTAGACAATAAATAACCTAGTTGTTGGGAAAAAAATTTTAATCATCAGTCAATTTTAATCAGTGGTCTAGGACTAATAGCTAAAAAAAAGCCTTTAGTATAAAGAGGAACTAATGTTGCTAACTTGTTTTCTGGCTCAGGAAGTTGCCAAATGCAGGTTAGTAAATTATAGAATTCGGTCTGCCATCTTGCTTCCCTTTCCCTCTTGTCACCCTTGGCAAGTCTGGCATAAATTAGGTAGGTAATCTCATGAGTAGCTAAATTTAGATTTAATGCCTTATGCTATTTGAAAGCTGATATTCTCTGCAGCTTTGAGATGCTGGCTCTTGGATCCTGGAGGATGCTGATTTCAGCTCCTGAGGATACCAATTGAGCCTCTGAGAAATGGGGACATGAGGTGGTAATCAGAATGGTCAGTTAGTATAAAATAAATGTTCAATACTGTTCACTGACCCTTAAGGCAGTCTTTAAGTATAATTATTTTCTTAGTCCATGTGTTATTGTAGACTGATACAATAAGTTTGATTATTCATAGAAGTTTGTTTGGTTGACTTGAAAGGACGTGAACTGTCCTGAAGACAACTCTTTTGCAAATCATTTCAAGAATTTTCCTCTAATGCAGTACATGTAAAAACAGATAAAGTTTACACAGCTGAGTTCATGATAAGTCTTTTGTTAAATGGGAGGAACAGCCAGCTTATTTGCTGGTTTGCAATCATTTATTAAAAAAAAATGTATTTAATATGAGCTTGATTCACTATGTTCAACATCTTTTTTTTTTCTTCCTTTGTGTAGATGAAGAAAAATTGGATGACCGAGCCAAACTAAGCGTGGCTGCAAAGAGACTGCTTTTTAGAGTAAGTATTGCATTTTCTAAATAAAAGACTGAATTAAACATCTCATATACAAGATGCTGAAGGAACCCAAAGTGCATTAAAATGAAGTATAATGCAGTTAACCACGCCCAAGCTACATAACTTTTTTTTTCTTACTTTATTCCCTGCCTACACAGTAGACCTGTTGCTCTAAAGCCTTCTTGTCATTTAGAGAGAGGTGTGTAGTTAGTCTTAATTCCGTGATGCATACTGTGCAATTGCATCCTGCTTTTAATTCAGAGATGGGCACTTGGGAACTTTACTGCTCTGCATGCAAGAAAGCTGAAAAGAAAGTACTGTTTTAGAACTTTTCATCCGTGGCTTAAATGTAACATATATCCTCTTAGGAAATGGAAAAATCATTTGAAATGAAAAATATTCCTAAACCACCTACAAGAAGTTCAGCGGTAGAGAGAAGGCTGCGGCGTTTGCAGGACAGATCTCACACACAACCAATCACCAGTGAGGAGGTGGTCATTGCAGCTACGTAAGTGTGTTGGCTCTAACTCTGGCTCCTGCTTTCAAATCTGGGAATAAGTTCCATGTCTGTGGTGCTTATAACTTTGTAGCAAGGAAAACATTTATTGTTAAGGGCCTTGACAACCACAGGGGAAACTATATTGAAATTCCTTTTTAAATGTAGAGGGACTAGTAAAGCATAAGTTATATGAACTGTAATTTGGCAGAAAGTTTAAGAACCTGTGGATTAGGTAAACGAGATTAATCATAGCATTGTTTCATAACTCAAATGAAAAAGATACTTTGCACTGAGGGAAATCTGCTCAATTTCTTATGGAATGTATATGTATTGGGGAAAACCTTTCACATTCTGAAATCTCAAATGTACTTTTTGGAAATGCATTTCTTCCACTCCCGTCATATATCATGACGTTTTCCTGAATAAGGGAAAATCATTTTTGGGGAAAATTAAACAAAGGTGAATGGATGTTCACCTAATGGTCTACTAAAAGGTAGCTTACATTATGGGTAATGAATAAGTTCAAGAGACAGCATGTTTGCTCTTCTAGGCTTTTGGTTCTTTCAAAGTATTTGAAACTATTTTGAAAATGTCGCAGCAGATAGTTAATTAAAAATCACTGCTGTTTGGTTTTTTTCTGTTTTGTTTTGTTTTGGTCTTTTCTGTAGTTAACACTTTATGTATTGCTTTTCTTAATGCTTTTTTCTTCTCTCTCCCTGTGAATTTTCCCTCCTTGGCAATTCTTTAAAGTGAAACTACCCCTGCTTCACGTTCTGTGAATACCCACACAGTAGTGACAAGAGTACCTAGTCCCACTGTAGTTAAGAGCACTGTACAACCTACCAGGTACTGGGGGGGTAAACATGCATGTTACATGGAGCACAAGATTCTTCAATAGCAGATGCATCTTTAAGTCTTGAATGCCTTTTCAATGTGTCAAGTCAATACTCATTTCAAGAATATTTAAAACATTGGTCATTTATATTTGCATGATAAAGCAATGCAGCTTTTTTTTGGTCAAGCATCTGTTTTTAGGACCCTTCTAACCACACTTACCCACTCTAGAAGCATATTCGTCTTTGTGAAAGAAATTAATTTGCATGTGAGCAAACCCAGCAGAACTCTCTATGCTCTTGTAATTTTTTTTTTATGGTAATGTCATCCTCAGATGAAAATAACAAAGCTGAGTGCTTGATTTCACAAGGAGTACATGTCCTTTGTCTGTCTCTACATATATATTTTTTTAACTTGCAAAATTAAAGGAAATATAAGAAATTGCACCACCTATAGGTAAAGTTGCAGAATACTGTTGCCTTTCTTAATGAGAGAATTTTAGCAGAGAGTATGACAGGAAAAAAAGTTAGAGAATACTGCTAATTCCATAAATGTGGCCGAAGATGAACAATAAAATATTTTATTGTAAAGGTGAATAAAATACATTATTGTAGAGACAAATGCAATTACAGCTTTTATGAATGAACTTCTCTGCCTTCAGCATTGGTCAAACAATCTACAAAGTCAAACTATGTTCCAAAACTATTTTTTGTTGTTGAGTTACCCCTGATAACTCAAAACAAAAGACAGTCTGAATTCTGTTCCACTTCAAATTATAAGAGGCATTGCAATTTATGCTAACCTAAAAGCAGCACTAACTTGGAGTTTAAGTCTGTCCTTTAAATGTTTTGATCATATATGGTCCACAAGTTACTTTCAATAAAATTGAACTTTACATAAATTGCACTGTAGGACCTGTGTTTGTTCTACAGCAGGCATCTTAAATGTCTCTCCATAGCTCCATATTCTGTATAAAGAGATTGTCTGAAAAATCTCTCTTCAGTCTTGAAGTTCCCCCTTTAAAAAAAAATGTTGTGTCCTAATCAAATGAATTTGTGAATGAAAATTTAACTTTTTTTTTAAATCTCCAGCTGTTGAATTAGAATTCATCATGCCAATGTTGAACCACTGCATACCCACTTAGGCTGCTATATTACATTGGCTATTGTGCTTCACGTGCAGTTCTTCTGCTTCTATCAGGTTGAGATTTTAAAACTGCATAGCGGCTTCTTCAAAACTAATTTCTAGTTCTGTTTCTTCAGCTTGCAGGCATCAGCACAACAAAAAATTTTAGCTAAAGAGGAGATAAGAGCAGCCAAAGAGGCAATGGGGCAAGATCAGTCTGATGAACCAGATTCTTCCACCTTAAGTTTGGCAGAAAAGATGGCTTTGTTTAATAAACTGTCTCAACCAGTATCCAGGGCCATCTCCACAAGGAATCGAGGAGATCTGAGGCACAGGAGAATGAATGCTCGTTACCAGACTCAGCCAGTCACTCTTGGAGAAGTTGAGCAGGTAGGTGACCTCTTAGCTCTTTTGCATTTGTTTTTTATTTTGTTTTGGGTTTGTTTGTTTGTTGGTTGGTTTTTTTGTTTTGTTTTGTTTTTTGAGAAAACAGCTTCAGTGTGAGATGCTGTAACAGCTGGCCTTTCCTTTGCTTTGAGCTACACACTGAAGAAAGAGCTTGTCAGGAAGCAGACTTCTGACATTGAGGAACAACATCCCCTAACTGTTTAACTTTGTTGGAGTGGTTTTCTTCTTTTTTAAAGTAATTCAAGTGTATATCATCTTTCTGTTTGGTGCATGCTGTACCTTTCACAGTGTGTGTCTTTTCTGGTAGATATTACTTGTCTTCTAAAAGTAAATTCCTGATCAAAGGGGTAAAAACTGTGACACACATCATTGTGTATTTTCAGCGAATTTTGGAGCTTTGTAATGTGCAGCTTTCAGGCCTATTCCTGAAAGCACTATATATTTCTGTTATTAGTCAGGACATATTCTGTCATTTTCCTCTGGGAGGGGGCCCTGATTATTATCCTAATTTTTTTCTCTAAAAGCTGAATACTTTTGAAATTCAAAAAGTCATGGTCAAAAAGAAATTTTTTAATGTGTGCAATGGAATTGGGCTTCTTGTTCTGGAATCCTTCATATAATTGGAACTGCAAAGGAATGCCTTTTTAGTGAAGCCTGAGCATAAGGTGGCCCAGCAGTGGTCTTTCAGAGCTGATGACAATAGCAGAAACATCAGTCTCTTAGCATTACAGCTTCAAAAGAAATCACTTTAACAGTAAAGCACAACTCCTATGCATGTCGTATTTCTAGGGATTTGGATCAATCCGAGTTCTCTTTCTATATGCTTCATCCATGATTATATGTTTTCCATATTATAATAATAGAATAGTGGGAAGGGAGGATTCCTCTAGACTGATTGGTGCAAATCTGTACAGATACATAATTGTACTTTACACCTATTTTGCTCACACTTAAAGTAGTAATAAGTGTTTTGACAGATTTATTTTAGCAAGATTTCCAGACCATATATAGTCCTTTTTCCATCCACTTTCTATGTGCCAATCACTGTCACAGCCTGGCCTCTTTAATGACTGTGTCACTAACTTCTTTGGGGCCCAGGAAGGTGATCAACAGAAAAGGGCTGAAGCAGATGGGAAAGAAGTGACAGTCACATTACTTTGTCAGACTTTCAAAGAAAAAAACTTGCTCTGCAAGCAAGGAAACTCAGAGGAAGCATGTTTTGTCATCTCTTTCTGAACCTAGCAAAAGAAACCAGAGTTGACTCTGGAACAAGTTCAATGAGAGTGTATTTTCAAAAAGACTTCCTATAGTGAACTGTTCATTTGGAGTGTTGGGATGTTTTGAGATGCAGGTATGGTTTTTCTAGGAAGAAACAAAAGAGAGCTATCAAAATAGGTTACTAGAGGTTACTTTCCCAAAATGCATAATTAAAAATGTAGATATCTTGTAATTAAAGCTGAAGTACTTTTCTGATCTCCTCTAAATTTCTAATTCTGATAGATGCAATGGAAAAAAAATAAACTGGTAACTATTTTCTTAATCTTTCTTTGGACTCTTTGACCTAACATAGTTGTCTTTGCTCTGCTTTCCAATTTGCTTAATTAATGATTGTGTTGTCCACGCTTTATGGAATCTGCATGCACATTTTACACTCTGAGCTGATTTCCTCCTGCTGGTGTGATCTTGTCTATAACTTTTGCATGCTGTTCACTAGCTTTGCAGTTTAAGAAAACAATAAAAAAAATAAATCTCCTGATGTGTATGAGGCATGTTTGTTACTCTCTTTCGTAGTTTTTGTATCCTTTGAAGAAGACAAAGCTAAGCTCTGCATTTCAGAAAAAAAATCCATCTTAACTGTATCTAGGAAAACTTTATAAAATTATTGTGCTAAAGAGTAGAAAAGATTATTTTTCCACTGTGGAGACTGGCAAAGCAAATTTGGAGGCATTTTTAATATACTTCTTAGGTTCAAATACTTTGCTCATGACAGCCAATATTTATACTTGAAAAAGTCCTTCTTGAGGATGATTTTATGTGGCTGAAGCATCAGGAATGTCTGCCCTGTGTGGGACAGCACGGAGCAGTCTGTCTCTGGCGCTGAGCAGGCTCTAGAGCTGGAAGATGCAGAACTGTGTAAGAGCAGAGCTGTGCCAAAGCTAATTAGTCCTGCTGAGATGCTGAGTTGATTAGCCTGGGCACATGGCATGTCATCCAGCATCTGGAACCTGAACTAATTTTTCTCCCCAGTCCCGTGCCAGTGTGAGCCTTTCCATGGAGCGCTGACACAACGTTATGTTGCATGCTACACATACACCCCTTATTACTAAAGATGTTGCTGTTCACATGCAGTCATTTTTGACTTGGGGGGAATTATCCATCTGCAGCCAAATTATAGGGGCATTGCTGTTTTCCTTATCTGTTTCTAGTCCATCTTGATAGAGCACTATATTTATATGGAATAATACCTCTGAAGAACTGACATGATTAGACTGGTTTTTTTTGGAATTGATAATTTCAAAGCTTTTAAGTCCTATTTGTGTTCTTTGGTTGTTTTTTTTTTTCCTCATAGGTACAAAATGAAAGTGGAAAAATCACTCCCCTGTCAACTGCAGTTGCAACATCAGTTTCAACGATGGCATCTGCCCTCGCTCCATTGTTTGCTGGAGACCTGCACATGAAGCCAGCTAGTGATGGGAGCGTGAGTGCTGCTGCTAGAGCTGATTTGAGGTTCCACTCTTCAGCAGAAAACTTGGACTCATCAGGAAAACGCACACAGAAGTCAGAACAGTGGCAGCCCTCAGTGGAAGCACTAGAAAGCAGAAGAGCATCAAAGAAACATGAAGAAGAGAGGAAGAGGTTTCTAGCACATGAAGCTAATGAAATTACAAAATACAGTTCCTTTGAGGAAGAAACCACACATCCTGTTCCTGAAAAAACAGGAGACCGCCATAAAGAGACAACATACAGCTTCCTGAGGAAGGGCAGCTTGGAACTGTTTAGTTCACAAGGACTTTTTCAGCCTCTTGAACAGAAGGAAATTAATACTGGCATGCAAGGTAAATGGGAAGTCAAAGAAGGCCAGTCCTTTGAAGAAAAGATGGATTTTGAAAGTGTTATGAAAAGCAAGACTTGGCAAAGAGGTGCAGTATATACTTGCTGTTGGTGTAGTCTCATTCAGCAAATGGTGTTTCAAGCTTTATCAATGCTGGTTATGTTTTCTTTTTTTAACACTGCTTAAAAGCAGAGAAATACCTGTGAAGTCTTAAATTTTGCAAATACAGTTTTTTATTTTTTTATTCTTTCACTTCTTCAGTCTTTAAAGATGGCTCAATTTTATTCAGATTTTCTTACTTTGAAAGAAGCGGTATTATATGCTGAAGCTAAGATTTATCCTTTCTTTTGCCCTTGCCCCTGCACTTCAAAATGCTGAACAAACTAAACTTGCTGCTCTAGATCAAGCGCTTGCCCTTAATTTTTGCCTTATTGTGCATATATAGTTATGAATTCACTACATATATGCATACATAGCTAGTAGCAGATAATTTTCAGAGAATTAATTTTGCAAAATTAATATTCTTTTCCTTTTATTGTGGTGACAAATACAAACCAAGAAATTCTATATGCATAGCATAATTTAAACTTAAAAAGTAAGCTTGCCCATCTTTAAATAAAGGATTTCAGAAATAATCGGTGGATTTGATCATTGCTCGAAGTCTTCTATTCTGTTGAATTTAGAAGGATGTTGTATTGGGTTTGTGGTTTATTATGATGGGTGACAGGACCACAGTACCCTGTAGCACTGAAAGCATTTTTGTCTTTGTTTTGTGAAGTTAATTTATTTTAAATTTAATGGTCCTCACACAGGCATGGAGTGGATGGTATAGTTCTGCCTGTATTCCTCAAAAGCAGTATCCATTCTATCCAGTTAGCTTTTGATGACTGCAGGGGAGATGGAGACTGGGATAAAACAGGAGTAGTCATGTATCAGAGAGATGCTGTGCTTATAAAATTTCAAGAAGAAAAATGAAGATTGCTTATATTTCTTTAAGGATAACTGTAATGGTGCATTTATCTTTCATTAAGATGTTTTTTCCTGTGGTTTAATTGCTACTTGAAGAAACAAACCCAAAAAACCCCCCAACACCCTCCCAGAAAATAATGCCTCTATTTATTGAATGTCCTCCTAGTAGGCTACTTATTATGCATTAAACTGCTTTACCAATAAGTTAATTTCTTGTTTAAATTCTGTCTGCTTCTCTTCCCTTGCTCTTTGTTCCCTCTCACTTTTATTTCTCCATTTGTTTTCCTGCTGGTGTGATAATGGGAGCAGCAGTTTGTACCTCATCCATATGAAGTTCAGAACTGTGTGTTGAACATGATATTCTGTGGCTTCATGTGAACATTAGTCAGAAACAGCCAGTCTCTGCAGCAAATAATACTTCACGATTAATCTTTTTAATTTAGCTCAGCCAGAATTTTTTCCCTGTTAATAGAGTATGTGATATGAACATTTAAAAAAAGTCTGCTGCTTCAGTGTTAGTAATGTGAAGTATCTGAGTATAGAACTAAGTCTAATGCAGCACTTCTCTTTTGAATGGGCAGACCCCGCTGAGCCTGCTTCTGAACTCACCAGCACATCAGCAATGAGGACGGTTTCACAAACTGCAGCTGCGGCATCCTGTAGACTGCAGGAACTCTCTGAGCAATTGGAAGGCAAATTTTATAAGAATTCCTGTGAGATGTTTTCCATTGGAGAGAGCAAAGCACAAACAACTGAGGATGTCCTTGATAATTCCGGCAAAACTATGTCAATTAAGGAAAGGTACTTAAATTCCATTTTTTTTTTAATGATCTCTGTAAATACAGTTATTAGACTGATGATGGTATAAAAAGAAGCTTTAAAACTGTTTCTGAAAAACCTAAGTAGTGATTATTAGGCTTTATTATTACTAACAGCAGAAACATGCAGCTAATCTGCCTGACATCCTTATAAAGCAGATGATGGTGAATGAGAATTACCATTTAAGAGAACATAAAAACCTGATTTTGAAAGAGCTACCTGAATAACCAATAACTATTTCAGAAAATTAAAGTTGTAAAAAATACATTTATACTCATACACTTAATTTACTTCCCCAGGTTCTGCTTTCAGTTACAACACCTATAATGTGTTTGTGGTTTTTTAAATAACCATTTCTTTTTGGTCTATGTGGGTCTCCTAACTAAGCTGAGTACAGGGAGTTAGGGACAGACTCTCTGATATTGCCCCCTCTTCTTCAGAAATACATGGTTGCCATTTTGACTTCCAAGAACTTACTGTAGGGATTTTTAAAAGGATAGTAATTTAGACAGGTTTGTAGGAATATTAGAAATACTTTTTCCAACCCCAGATCATTCTGATCTGAAACAAAATGTTAAATGTCCTGTGCTTGTGCAGACAGTAGGAGTTCAGGGCTGGACCTTAAATAGCTGCTGTAGTACTTCTAAAAGTTTTTCTGATTTAGTTAAAACTTTGAGAATATAAATTCAATCCCAAATTTGTAGCAGTCCAGTGAGTAAAATTATGACTGTTTGCTTCAGGTTGACAGATAGGCCTATTTGTACTTCAGTTTTTCTGCAGTGAAAGCAGAACCAATAAATAAAAATAGCTGCTTGATTAAACTTTCAGTCTGTAAAAATATTCCCTCACTTGGTGAGGTGGGTATGATATTAGGAACTCAACCATTTTTTTAAATTTTACACATGATTCCAAAGTACACTTCTTAAATTCATATATTTCCAGGAGGTGAGTCATCCACATTTAAAAAGCATCCCCACTCCCTGTTTTCCCCTTTACACAAAGGTGGTGCAGGGGCAGCTACAGCAGCTGTGTAGTCTTAGCGCCCTTCTGAAGGATGTACTTACCTTTTTCAGTTTACTGTTGTTTTGTTTAAAGCAACTTTCACCCCTCTTCCCATACTCCTAATGTAAACATGTCAATTGTCTGGGCAGACAAGGTTCAAGATCCATAACTTCTGGTTTATAGGTTGTAAATGATCTCCCTTCCCTGATCCTGGTGTGGAAAAAGAGGTTGGAGGAAGATCCAAGTATTAGTAGCTGCTTTCGTCCTAGCTTTAATGCCTCAGCTGAGTTGATCTCTTGAGGAAAGAAAGTAGAAGGCTGTCAGTCACACTCACAACCAGGAATTGCTTTTGTTAGGACTACGAGACTGTCTAGTCAGTCCCAGAGCTGACAGAAGAAAATACCTGCTGTCTTGTCAGGAATTTGTATATCGTGATTCCACAATACCTGTAAATGACTGAGATGGTATCAAAATGTTTTAGACTTCCAAAATGCCACAGTAGTCTGCTTCTTGTCCCAGAATTTAAAAACTACAACCCGTCATTTTCTTTTTCTTGGCTGTAGGTGATGCCAAGTATTCATAAACATCAAAGAACATTTTTGCTAAGGATAAACTTTTTTTTTTTCCCCCTTTTACATTTACTAACTTCATCTTCCCATCCAGCGGATTTTTCTGGCTGTGTCAGACATTCTTTCACCTTTTGGAAGAACAACTTTTCCACACATGTAATGGTATTTGGGCAGGATGCATGAATGCTGGTCTGGATGAAAGTGATTTCTCAAAGACTTGCTTCACTGAACTAATATTATCCTTGTGGAGTGAGTGCATGCCTGGCATTTTCAGAATTATGTATATTATATGGAAGAATGAAAATCATGATTTTTCAAGGAAGAAAGATGCCTCTCTTCTCCTGTCTTTGTGCATTTATGGAGACCAAAGTTGCTAGAAGGCCCATCCTATCAGCTCCGCTTTAGAAGTCAACTGCATGCCATAATCACCATTTAAAAAAGTTACAGATAACTAATTTCTGGTGGTCCTCTTACCATCATTCACACCTTCTGAGAAGGAATCTTAACTTAATTTTCAACCTTTTTTGATGTATGGATGCCAGAGCAATACTTTCTTATGAAGTTTGGTCCTCACTATATTGAATTTATGCACTCTTTTAACAGTCAACTTCCTTTTTGTAGTTATGTATCTCACATTGCCCTCCAGGATTTATGATTTATCTGAAAAGTGTTAGTCAAGTGCAGCCAACAGAGTACATGTGAAAGACAAGCCTATGTCCAGTTTGCTCTATCTCAAGGGTAACACTAGCAGCTAAGATACTAAAATATTGTCACAGAAGAAAGATGTGTCATTTTGGACATTTTTTGCCAAGACTTTTACCAAGGCCTTTCATGCAACACTCTTTTTTAAGGCAAAACCATTGTTCAAATCTTGTTTCGGTTTCCCTTCAGTATTAATCCAATGTTTTGCCTTCAGCTCTGGAAGCTTTTGCTTTGAAGCCATCCTGGCACCTCTGGGAAGATGATCATTCAATCTTGATGTCACATATTCTATCTCAATAGCAGGGGAAAGAAGGATACAGAGCAAGCTGTCAAAGATGGGCAGACATACAAAAGCTTTTTTCTTCAAGAGAAGAGTAAAACTTTTTTTTTCGGAATGGAAAAGGAACTTTTGTAGGCAAAAGCAGTATAACTGAACAGTTAAAATAATGAATACTTGATTATTCATTATTTATTGAAAGTGGAAAACTAGAGGTATGCAATGAAACTAGTAAGAAGCAGGTCTTAAACAAATCTAAGCATTATACCTAATAATTGACTTATTTTTGAAGACTTTCCAAAGAATCAACTTTTGTCTACTTTGAGTTAAGCTACTGAGCTGGTGGACTTGCTTGTATGAACCAATTCAGTAGTTCTTGCATCTTTATTCATACGAAAGGGCACCCTCCACCCAATTGTTGCTGAGTCAGGGCAGTCTGACTTTATTGCCACTTCCATTGTTTGAAAGAAGTGCATGGCTTTTGGTTTTGCACAGCAGTGAAGTTTTCATTGGCATACAGAGCATACACATTTCTTTAAGTGGTGATTTCATTGCTCAAAACAGACAAATGTGTGTTCTCACTTGTAGGGTGAGTTGTTTTATTACACATACCATTGGAGAGTGGAGGGCTGGTATGAATCCATCCTCATGGCAGAGAAGAAAACAAAGTCTCCAGAGACACAAGTATTCTTAGAATTATAGATTTTTCTCTCCCTGATCAACCAGGCTATTTGGGTCAAAGGTGAGATACCCTGCAGTAAAGCCAGCTTAGAAAAAAAAAAAAGACTTTTTTTCCCCTGCCTGCTAAAGACATTTTTAAAAACAAACCCATCTTAGGCCAAAGCTGACCAATATACCTTCCAGTTTCAATTATCACAGATCGTATCTAAGCAAAACTGACATGAGAGAACATAGCTACTGAAGATAATTAATTGCATGGTGGCAATTCAGTCCCATCTCGGTCTCCTCCACAGTTTCACACATGCATGGATGCACTCCAGAAGATTAGTTCTGGGCAGTGAATTCTTGTATCCCTTCTGGAAACAATGGCCATGACCTCAACTCCTTATTGTGAGTCCTTCTCACCCCTACTCATCCCATGCTGTGAGGTATGAAGCAATCAGGCAATGTGAAGCCTGCCAGCACTGCCTGCCTGGGCAGGAAGAGAGGAAATAACTGCTTTCTTGAATACTAACATTTTTACTGCCATTGTATTCTGTGGATTACTGTTCTCTGCATTCTTAGTTTTTCTCAAATGCCCGCCTTAGGCCCAATTGATCATCCTCGATAGGTCAGTAGCATAGTTGCACCCCTTGGATTTTTGCAGGAAGCAGCTGCCTGAAACTTGGTTTCTGGCTAAACATATTCAGCTCTTTCCTCCTCCTCAGAGTTTCAAGACAAGACTTACTGTGAGGGTAACAGTAATCACATCTCTAAAAAAGGATTTCCATATCTTGTGGTCAGAATAGGTTTAACTGCTGAACCTGTTCAAATATTAATAGTGTTAAGGGTTTTGTATAATACTTACTGAAATACTTACTTAATGAAATTTTAAAAAGGTATGTAGTAAGACTTAATTCAACTAAAATAAAAATTATGTAGGGGACCGATACAACTGTTTGCACAAGTGCTGCAGATACATGTGTTATGGATACTCAGAATGATTTCTAGAATGTAGAAAATTCATACAGATGTTAATTTCTGAGAAAGGTAAGCTGAAGACCATGCCTGAGTAGACCTCGTATTCCTGTCTGTCTTACCCTACCCTACTAATCACCTCAAGGTTTGTATGGACAAATAGATTCTAATTCTAGCAAGATAAATCTACATGTTGTCCCCACCAGAGCCAGTCAGTGTCTTTTTGAGCTATGTTCAGAATTTTGCTCAAGATTAGGAAACAGCACTTGGAAAAGATCCTACTTACTGAGATTAATGGTAATCCACATTATAAATATGAGGCATCCTTTAAATGAGTTGAATCTTGCTAATAGATTTCACAGCTGTAGTGTAGTTAGCACCAAGTTATTAGAGCACTGGTGCTGCTGATCTGTGTCACAGCAACGCCTGAACTAAGCAAGGAGATACTAAGTGATCCAGGGGAGTCTGATAGTAACCTCAGTCCCTGGAGTTGTAGTGAAGGTAGTAACTGTAGAGTTGTCCTTTGATGTGCCTGTTGAGACCTAATTGGTGTGTGCCTGCTGAACAGACCTCTTTCTTCTTGCGTTTTGAAGAAAATAATTTTTAATTTTTTTTTTATGAGTACAAAGAAGACTAAAGGTAGGATGCGTATTTGTAACTTTGTCATCCACAGGATAAGTATCCATAGCCAAGCTAGTCCATCTCTGTGCCTTATCAACAGAAGGGAGGGGAAAAAAAGCAGTTACTAATCTAACCTATTTATATGTCTACTTTAGGGCGATCTGCGTTGTACCTTGGTCTCCTTGACTGTATTGGCAATTTCCGCTGATTATACAAATTAACTGGGGTGCCTATGTCAAATCTAGATGTCTGTGTTTTGACAGATGATTCCCGTTCAACATGTACAGTAAAGGCTTTGTGTTCGTTTGTGAGCCTTGTATATGTGTATGAAATGTAAATAACTATAGTTAATGTTAGAAAACCTAATTTCAAATTATCTTGAATGCAGCATTAATGCAACAGTAAGATTATCTTTTGAGGATAATGGGAAGTACAGTGTTTAAAGCTACCTGTTGACATGGTTTTCCTTCTAGGTTGGCATTGCTGAAGAAGAGTGGTGAAGAAGATTGGAAGAGCAGGCTCAGCAAAAAGCAGGAGTATGCAAAAGTCCCTGCTGCTGATCGTAGTATGCAGATGCAAGAAGTTGAGCAGCTGTTGAAGAAGGTAGCTGTCCTTGTTTGGAAAAAACATCTTGCTTGAAATGCTTTTGCTTTTTGAAGACGCATCCAACTAGACAGGCATGCCTAATATTAGCTACTAGCTCCCGTTATTCCTCTTATTGTCGGGCTTGTTTAGAAAACAATTCTCCCAACATAAGAGATCATTAAATGAGAATAGCTTCACTGTCTTGGGACATATAATATTGGTTACAATGTCTTCACATCAGGAGATTATGAACTAGTAAATGGGTCTGTAAGGCTTCTGGAACATGTATAATGATTTAAGCCCTTTCCCCTTACCCTCCACCCACACCCCTCCCACAATGAAATTGCCTTAAGACTTCATTCAGGTGTTTTCTTATTTATGGGTGGGCTTGTAAAAATTTCACATTCCTAAAGCTGTGTCATCTCTATGCAAACACTGGGGTTTTGACCAGTAATTTTGGATCCTAGAACCACTGAGGAAATGCAGGTACCAGAGCCATTTGGCTTTTGGTTATCTTGCATGATCTTTTCAGGTTTTGGATAGCCAAAACTGTCAGGACAGGGATTTTCTGTCTTATCGGTGTTAATGAATAGAGAGAGAGATGGATAGAAAGATGTAGAGAGGAAAGGGAGGTCCACATTGTTAGCACACTCTGGTTATGTCTATACATGAGTAAGTTATGTTGGCCAGCAGAATTGAATCTGTAAATCAGAATGATTACTACTGAGGACCTACTATCTATGCTATACTTGCTTCTTTTGGTTAGCCTGAAGCAAAACTTCAGACTAAATTTAGTCTGGTCCTGTGACCTGACTGCCTTTACCAGCATTAGTGTTACATGGGAATCTGGGAGGGCACTTGGGGGCTTAGTTTCATGCAAAAGTCTGTGCATTCTGCAGTGTGAACCAAAGCACAGAAAGTGAGCATGACTGGGAGATTTGCTTCAAAATGGACTGACTGCTGCCTCAAAATATGGGGCCAATGTGGACTTGTTTCCCTTCTGAGTCTAGTATTTTGAAAATGACAATGTCAGATGAAATAGGCCGTTTCCAACGCCTTTACTATTTGAAGGAGTATTTCCCAGATGACAGTGAAAATAAAATTTGTGTTACAAATTTTACTAATGGTGACAGTAATCTTTGGATCCAATTATTTGTGAAAGTCCTGCTTCTATTAAATAGTATAGACAAACAGTAACAAAAAGTCTCCTGTTCCATCACTATATTACAAGTAAGGTCATGATCTGTCATTACTGAAGGTAAATCTGTGCCTGAACATATGGTTCATCAATTGTTGCATTAACTGGATAGAAAACAAAAAAGCTGATTTTTGCAGTTTGGTTTATATAGTTTGATTTGGTTTTGCCCTGCAGACTTGTTCAAAAATCCAGTTGCTAGTTTGAAACATATCTTAAAGTAAAAATAGTTTCAGCAAAGGAAGCAAAATTTTGGTCACATTTTTAACAGGCTAGTCTCCAAAATGACAACTGTTGAAATCAGATAACAAATGTACTCCAGCTAGAGACAATGGGGTTGAGAAAAAGCTTTTAACAGCTGCCAAGTTTTAGTCAGAGGCAAATCCTTTGTTCTCTCTTCTCAGTCCTCAGCACCCATATCCTCCCTGCTGTGTTTCCATGTGCAGCAACTTCACTCAGTATAGCACGAGTTAGGCTTTTAAAGCGAGTAAGGGAGCATGAAGTGCTTGAAGGACACAAGCTTTGAAGTGACAGTGCTAGCAGTGGGAGTTTCTGTGACACTGGGTCACCCACTCTAATAGCTCATATTAGCTCTTGGCTGTTTAGAGCCAAAATCAAAGTATTTGCATGTCTGCCAATGGTTGAAAATTTGGGTATGTAAGATACACAACTCCTTGAACTGTATTGATATTTGTGATGCTGATTCATTATGTGATATATGAGAGATAATGTAAACCTTTAATAAGTTGACCACACTGTTTACAAGACACCATGTCAGCTGCCCTTAAATCTAGAAATACTCGTTTTGATAATTAGTCAATGTGATGGCTGTTATCCTTTGAGAACCATGAAGCAGTGTGCCACTGAATTCTGTCTGTAGAACTTTGAGACTGTGGTGTACTTGAGAATCTTGGTTCTTTCTGTTGCTGGATTGCAAAAAAAAAATGCAGAAATTGTATTGATTACTGCATTTTGAGCTAGTTATACAATTTCCACACATGGCAGCTGTGCATCGACAGCAAGGCTATGTAAACTTCTGTCGTGCCCTGGTGGTTCAAAGCAATGCCTGACATTTTTAATTGCAGTATGGCGCTCCTGGTAATGTAGCCAGACACCTTTTTGGGTTTTCTTTTGTGTGTGTGTCCCTCCCTTAAAAGGTTATCTAACCTGCTCTGGAGATTTGATTACTGAAGTATGGCTGTATAAATTAGAAGTTATTAAAGTACATTTAGATTTCATATAAACAACGAAAGTGGAAAGATTCATACTCTTTATAAAATAGTTATATTAAATAGTGCTGTTTCAACACTTCTAGTTGAAAGACTTCTGCACAGTTCTCTGCATGGTGAGATATTTCTCCAAATGTGTTATAGTAATTTATATGTAGACTAAACTGTAGAAAAACCCCATAAAATTCATGAAAAAGCTGACAGAGCAACCTCAAATGGGGAAAAAAAGAAGGGACTAAGGAATTAACTAAAGGCAGTACAAATGAGGGGGGGAAGTGGAGATTTACTTGGAGGTCCAGCATCTGTTTTGATGATTGCTGCACACAGGAGGAAAGTTTTTTGGAAGCTATGAGCCTTCTTAAGTTATTTATATATATTGTAAAACATACTTGGACAATTCAAAGAATAGCTCTAACATCAGGGGAACAACTGTACACTGATGAATGTCTTAATGGAAAAAAGATCCCTTTTATTTGGGAAAAATATTTTGGATTTAGTATATTTGTGTTCATCAGTTTAGGATGGATGGAAGATTTCCAGTTTGTTGGGCTTTCTTCATGAGTAGAAAAATTTACTAACTTTAAAATCTTCCCCTGGTATCAAAATAGCAAGATTTACGGGAATGAAAATTTCTTATTTTATAGTCAGCCATTTTTAAGAGAGTCCCTGATTAATGTGGTTACCAGATGCATTGCAATTGCATTGGTGACTGACATTTGAAACACTTAATTCTTACATTAAGTTTAAATTGCAGCTCAGGACTGATGTTAAAGGCTAGGGCTGAGCAGTCATTTCAAAATTATTCAGAGGTGAAGTGTGTAAAAACCTTAAAGGGGGTGAACCCTTAAAAAGTGACTTTTAGGCAAAATATTAGTCTCTTGCTTTGGTAGTAGTTTTATCCATTTCAAATATGGCATCCACTAAGTGCTTGTATCTCATTCTCATCAAAGCTGAAACTAATGATTAGGCTTCATTTTGAGCCACTCTAATGAGCTGTGTTTACCAATATTCTTTGCCATGTTCCACACTTGCTTTAACCTATAGAAAGGAAGAAGAATTATAGATGATAAAGCCATGTCTAATCAGCTTTGGGTAAGCCCAGCTCTGGGGCAGGGCTTATTTATAGGCTTTGTTTAGAATGGTGAACTCACCTTCACTGAGTAGTACTATGGGCTTAGCAATTCCTTCCAGATGGCATTTGGGTCTCCCAGTTTTAGTAAGCATTCTTTCCTTTCATCCAGAAAATAGATGGCTTGTTATTTAGCAGGGTCTGATTAAACTTCCAGCAGAATTATTCACATTGTTGTTGACATGGTTCATCCATTTAATGATGCATGAAAACATAGACATATAAAAATTATCAGCATATGAAAAGTGTATCTTCCAGCTGTACTGTTTCGTTCTGTGTTGAGTTGTAGTAATATTGTTACTAACTTGGATAATTCCTGCATGGAATGGTTTTGGTAAGTGTGCTGTTGTATTATGACAACATTTTTTATCTCTGGCTTTCCAATAGGGAAAACATTTCTAGAAGATTAAAAGATTAAGTAAGAAATTAGGGAAAGAGGAGTTATTTCTTCCCTATCTCCATTTCTGGTAGTTCAGTTCTTTTCTAATTCCTTTGCTTTGCTTCTGTCCTTGTCATAGGAACCTGTATATGCTTCTACTTACTCTCCTGTTATACCCGCTCTCCATAAATTTCATCCTTTTCTACCTATTAATCAGGTGAGCAAAAGTCTGCACAATTTAAATGCTCAACAATTTCAAGTAAGCACATTTTGAGTGTTTTCTTACATAGACAATTAATAATCCTCTTAACTCGTTAACCAGCTTAGTAAATGCAGCTTTAAAGAAACGTAGTGTTATGCCACTATGTTGTGTACTCTTCTTCAATATACATTCTACTGTTTCTCTAATGGTTGCTTTTCTAAAAATTCTATATCTATGTTAGACAATATTTGAGAAAGTAATAGAAGGAAACATTATTATATTTGTTATGATACTGAAAACTTGCAAGTTGTTAAAAAGGGTATATAAAAGGAGTAGTATGTAACTGCACAGCATTTATTTTAGAATAAAATGCTGTGTACTCTGACTTCCCTGTAAGTAATGTGCATATACAGTGTAAGACATAACATAATTTATTGACTGTAAAAAAACAAGCTACTTTTGTTCAGAGGTGACTTTCCTATAGTGTTTTTCCCTAGTCCCTGTGTAAAGGATTTTTGCCTTGGCACATCCTGCTTCTATTCTCTGACTGTCCCATCTTCCTGCTTCTCTCTCTTTCTTCCTTTAAGGTCTGTAGTACTAGTTTGAAAGAATCAAGCTCTCTGATTTCTGATGAACGTCATCCTTGGAGATGGAAGGTGAAATGCTCTATAAACTTTGTATTTAATTATTGGAGGGAGGAGTAAGACAGAAAATTACATTCAGGTCGAAGATACATATTTCCAAAGCAACTTGTGGCAGTAGAGTTAACTTTGTATTTACTTGGGAATAGAGTTCTGCTGCTGTTCAAGTAAATGTTAGAGAAGCTTCATGTGAAGTCTTCCTCAAAATCATGTCCATACCTCTGCAATTCCATCATAGACAATTTGAAGAACTTACGAAGAATTAATAGATAACGAGAAATATAAACTTTCTACATAACAAATTTGTCTCTGAGCAGAAGTACAATAGTAGATCTTGATCTGAGCAAACAGTACCTGATTCACATGATCAGAGGTAAAAATTGCAAAGGCAGGAGTGGGCAAAGAAACAAGCTGAAGAAAAACTCAAGAAAACAAGGAGAGTTCAGAGGAAGTTCTCAATAGATCTATGCAAATCTAATTCTGCTATATTACACCTCCTTGTCCCTTGCCTCCCAGCTCACATCTGTGGTTGTAGTACTACTAGGAATCCATTGGGTTCTTCATTCCCACACATACACAGTCTGTGTCACATGTGGGGAGCATTCTGACCAGTGTGTGTATAATGGCAGTGAATTCAAGGAGCAGATACTCACTGCTGGAATAGAGGATGGTGAGTACGGAAGGGGCTACTGGATATGCTATAAACATTTAGATGACTGATATTTACCATTTCCACATTCACTTTCATAGCTGTTTTTGAGTATGATCTTTTACTACAATTTTTTAAATTAAATATTAAATTTTGGACGAGTAACTGAAATGTGTTAGTATTACCTCTTCTCCATAAACTCTGGATTTAATATAGCTTATTATTTTTTTACTTCAGATCACCTGTTAATTTTGGTGTGACAGAGTTCACCAGCTTTATGTATCTAGAAGATAAACATATAGTCTAACTTAATGTCCCTCCAGTAATTAGGGGAGGTCCTTCAATGGGCTGTTCATTCCATCTGTCTTAAAAGGAAAACAGCCAAAAAGTGTTCATCTTTCCATTGACTGTGGTGAGATACATCCTGCCCCTTTACCAAGCTGCTTTCTTCTAGCACAGGGTGAAGGTACATGCAGATTTGTGTGGTTGTTTGGTTTTTTTCCTGGCACAATGAATCATTTTGTTATTTGTACCAAATATGAGTTGAGTGTGTTCTGTTTTGAACACACTTTTGAACAGAAAAGCACGTGTTTGCATTGGAGTTTTCTCCCCATGTTTGTCTTATAACAAGACCCATATAAAGTTGTGGAGGAAAACAATTCAGAGACTTTACGCTACTCATACAACTGCTGCAGTCTTCTGGTGCGTTTTTTTTTTGTCTTAGGAGCTTAAACTAGAGAAGTTACTTGTATCAAAAAGGAAATAGATGCTTTTTGGATTCTTCTTTTATATAATTTAAAAGATCGATTTAAAATGGAACCCTCTTTTGAAAAATACATTTTTTGTATTCATTCTTGGTTTGGACTCCCCCGGGTAGGAGCAGTCTTGATCTTCTACACAGAAAACCATGAATTATCTTAGTTCTTGTATTAAAAACCAAAACCAAACCCCTAAAGAGCACACTAGCATGCTAACAAACCACTTGCTCAGTTGTGTTCTTGTGACCTAAAAGGAACATGCTTGGACTAGAAGATTGTAGGGTACAAAATGGAGCATTGCCTAGATGTGGCCCCTTCCTTAGAATGAACTGACGTTGCAGAAGCAGTGCAGTGCCTGTGCATGCCCTCAAGAAATGTGTTGCAATGCTAGAAAAGACCAATATTATCATCCAACCTAACCAAGTAGTGGGAGAAAAGTAATCCCAGTTTCTAACTTTTCTTGCATTGAGTCTATAAATCCTTCTCAGACTTAAAACAGGAACTTTTAGAAAAATATGCAGTCTTTATTCTTAACTGTCAGCATAGAGAAAACTCCCTGCAATATTCAGTGATTTTTCATATGTAATTATTCTTGCTATGTAAAATGTAACTTTTAACCCTCTCTTCAGTGAAAATATATACTCATCTGATTTAATCTGAAGTAATTTTTTTTTTTTAATCTTGAAAAAATATTTCAGCCCTTTCCTGAAACCCTTCAAAATTGTCACGATCCTGGGCAGAAGCATGGAGGCTGGAAATGGATGAGCTATTGCAGTACAGATTATCTATTCAAAACAACTGTTCCATGGGACTTTTTCTCTCTCTTTTTCTGTCTTCATAATTTTCTGGGGTTTGCCTGTTTCCCTTTTCAAATAACATTTCTCTTAAAATCCTGATTTACCAGATTTTTCAGATACCCTTTTTTTCACCCATCTATATGATTATCTCTTCTTCATCTTCATCACTTTGTGTACGTTGGTGTCCTCATGAGGGTCTTCTCAGCAGAACTGCATCTCTTTTTTTCCCATGTTCATGAAAACATTTTAATCAAAGTTGGGATGAATCAGATCAGTGCATGGGTACTTTCTGTTCAGAAATAATTTTTCAGTCAGTTATCTAGTTTGCAGCCTGTAAGCTGCTCTGATATTTTTATATTGCTCAAAAAAACCCACCTCAGAATGTCATCTGTGATTAAGTCAAATATATTAAAGAAATCAGAGGTAACTGTGTTAATATATTTAATCACACTTGAGCTCATCAAACTTACCATTTTGATTAAACCTTTTTTCCATAATGCCATGTGGAATGGCATTAATTACGTGCCTGTGATTTGATTCTTCATTGATTGTCTTTGCAGCAGTCTTTTAGTGGATCTCTGGAACAACACAGCTTGTGTGACCTGTACCTACATACTTTAGTTTTACTTCTTCTAAATATTTTTTCCATCTAAGCTTTTGTCAGTCCTGTATATTTTCCCATTTTCAAAGGCTTTTTTAAAAATTCACTGCTTGTGTTTGTATTCCAATTATTTCACCTGAGACATCAATGAACACATGTATGTATTTTACATGATGAATTAGAATATTTCATTGAAAGTAACTACCTTTTTAATGAAAAAAAAAAACCACATTGAAGCTGTTTTATTCCTAAGTTTTATTTATTATTTTTATTCATTCTTTACATACTAATTCTTGTTTTTACTTTTTTACATTTGCAAATTTGAGATTCTCCTTTCATGTCTTACTTTTTTTTCCACTTGAAAATAAAATTTATACTTAAAAACTTCTTGAGTTTTAACTTTCTTGACATACTTTCTCCCAACTGGAATGTCCTTCAACCTATTCATTCCTTCACAAATGCTGCATGTGGTAATTGTGGAAGCTTTCTAAACTGCTCCCAACTAACTACCAGGTGTATTTTTGCTGAAGTTTCTTTTGACAGTTGCATTGGCTCATGTTAGCTTTCCAGCTATAGAAAAATCATTTTTTTATTTGACCATGACATATACCTCTGTTTTTCACCAGGATTGTTATGGGAAATTAAATGGGTTGGGGATTGCTTGGTATCTATTCACTTTACAATTTTTTAGTTCGTTTATTTATTTGTAGATTAAAGTGGGAGTCTTCATACATTAGGAAGAGATCTAATATGGAATTTCTCTGAATTGTGTAACATACACGTACAATCTGAGATTTTATTTTTTAAGAACTCCAAAGATGCTTTGCCCAATGGAACAGCTTGAAATCTTCCATTAAAAAAAAAAAAAAAGTTTGTTTTTGCTGTCAGACAGCTGCTCTCTTTTGTCCTTTGACACAGCTCCAGAATTACTCACAGTCTTTCTTGCAATTCAAGTGTGTAGTGATTAATACACACACTTTCCAGGTCTGCTTCTCCAGAATTTTCAGTAGCTCTGCAGACTCTGAGGATTCAGGTATTCACTGAAGACAAAATCCAAAATTAAACCCCTTGTAAGTTTAAAAAAAACCAAACCAAACAAAAAACAAAACCAAAACAAAACCAAATACATATGATTCTACTTCTTTCTCCCTCTCCCTCACTTCCCTTCGTATTGTAATGGAAGTCAGCACCCTTACTAAGTTAAAAGTATTAGTTTTGTGTATGAAATTTCCCTTGTGGTTTCATTAGGTATTTATTAATTTCCTGCCCAAGTCTCCTTTAGTATGTTGCTGTGGTTTTTTTCTGCCAACTGTTCATCCCAGAGGTGGCTGTGCTGACACTGGAATGGGTATAGACTTGGGGAAATGAAGATAAATACTTCAGTGTTTTTCTTTAAAGCATTCTGAGCCTTTGACAGATGAGGAAATGACACTGAAGAGACTTCCATGTTGTCATTTCTGTTGAACGTTTCCGAGTTCTAGGGAAAAATCACAGTTTTTAATCTTGATTATCATGGCTTGCAGTCATATTGTCTGGCTGCCCAGCGCTCTTTCCTGATAAATTGCAAGGAAGTTTTACTGCAGGAGGATGCAGAGATGTATGGAACTAGAGGGAAAGAGTGGAGACTCTCATGGTCCTAGTCCTTGTACAAGCTATTTTCTGGCTTGTCTTCACTCTTCTGGCTGATGGCTACTGATCCTGGTAAATGCTGAAAGCTATGAAATTCTATTTTAGTGTGTCCTCTGCAGTCACAATAGCTTTTATATAAAGTGACTTATTTATTTAGTCTATTTGATTTTTACGAAAATAAAAAATAAGTGGGTTTATATCTCTTTCTTGTATCTTGAAAGAAGAAGAATGTTTATGTTCACAAGCTTTTGTATACTTTTGTATTTTCCCTCTGTGGTTCCATGAGTTAGAGGTGTGTTAAAGCTTGAGATTTTAATTTTTTTTTTCAATTCTAGCAGCAAGGTTGTGAAGAAAAATGACGAATAACATACAATTTGAAAATAATTCTAGCGTTGATAGTCACTTGCACTAAAAATACTTTTACATCTGATTTCTATGCAGTGTAATCCCTAAAATGTTGCTACTTTTTTAAGATAAGTGCATTAAAGTAATATTTCTTTGGCCTGACATAGCTACAACAGAGTGTGTAAGTTCAGTTTCTTTCCTATTTAATGTACCATCATCAATCCTTTGAGTTAGGAGGGCACTAAGATAATTCACCTTCTGCTTCTGATCACTTAAGCTGTTGGCTGATAACCTCTAAAGCAAGCAAGGAAAGCTGAGGGTCACCTGGAAAAAAAAAAGGGTGCTGGTGATGATCACAGTCATTGGAAAAATATTTAGTAGAGCAAGCTGACATAGGAACTAAAGTGAGCAGCCTCTGGAGAGATAAAGCTGCTAATCCTGCCAGGAGAATTGAGTTACTGTGAGAGACTGATTCAGAAGTCACGCACTGAAGTTACACCATTTCATTGCTGTTCCCTGTGCCACCTGCAGATTTGCACACTCAAAAACATCTGCTCAGTGTCAGTTTAGTGATCTCACCTGTGTAGCGAGTCATGCTTCAAAAGAACGAGGTCTGAAAAATTCTATCATTTGCAGAGTGAATGGTTTGTTTTGCTTAGAGGGGGACCATTTGCCCTGGCTGGTAGGTTCAAGAAAAGGTCAAAGAGCACAGACCAAAACCTCATAGTCACATTGTGATGGGGCAGCAAGACAGTAAAGCATCTGAGGGTCACTAAGATGTGTCTGTGACTTCACTTCAGTAGCTTGTTCTCCTTCTCCTTCCCTCTGCATCTGGCAGTTGAAATGTTCAGCCAGTCTTTAGCTGTATCCTGGTTATTTATCTTATTTTTAAACACCTGTTTCTCTCTTTCCCCAAAAAAGCAAAGAATGGCAGATAACCAGGAGAGTCAAATGACCATTGAGGAAAGGAAACACCTGATTACAGCTCGAGAAGAAGCCTGGAAGTCCAAGGGTAAAGGAGCAGCCAATGACTCCACACAGTTCACTGTAGCTGGCCGAATGGTAAAAAAAGGTCAGTGATGAAATGATCCCAGTATAAATAAGACACCTCTTATCTGTCTAGTCAAAATAAAGTCAGGCTAAAGCTATGCAGAAACAGTATCTGTGTTTAGCAAGAGGAGGATTGTTTGTCTTCAGCTGAATATCATGTCATGAGGCTGTTCACTTTAGTTTCTTGTGGCCCTCATATTGATCTATTTTGTTCTGCACTATTACACTGCCATCCAGTTATTATGGGGCTCTGACTGGTGGAAGTCTATCACTTGAACAGGGATATATGTTTTGTTTCTCCTTCTAATACAACCCAGATGGCATAGTTGGATTATTCTTTCTTATTTATCCTTCCTTTGAAAACCCAGCTGCACTGCCTAGAGAATAATTGTGAAATCTAGTTGTTGCTATTGCTGGCACTTCCCCCACTCTTAGGAACACTGGGAATATTTAGCAAACGAGTGTTATTTTTATGGATGCTGTCTTGTACAACAACTTGCAGTGCTGTGTTTGGCTGAAGAAATCACTGAACAGATTCTCTGGTTCTACATAGAACCAGGAAATAGAAATGGCAAGGGAGCAGTGTTGACTTTTTTTTTAATCGGTTGAATTCAGTCACTTTTTCAAGACCTAATCGTTCTTCTGAATTGGGCAGGAGTCTCTGAAGGCTGCACATGGTAGAAATGTAGCTGTTCTCACAGTGCTCTTGGGAAGATGATAGGTTTGGGAAGAAGGCACTTAAACTGACCTCTTGTGCTTAATGAATACTAGATTTTGTTTTGTTACAAAACAAACATTGGTTATTAAACACAACAACAATGAACCTTGAGTTAAATGACAACCATCAAAAAAAAAAATCATTGTAGAGCGAAGGCAATATTGCAACAGGAGTAACTGTTTGCAATCCAAGCCACATTCTGTTGGCAGATAAACAAGTACACAGTATTAGGAATTACATCTATTAGTAATCTTTTAGCTGCTGCTTACATTGTTTTGCTGCTAGAAACACCAGTATTCAGTGTGTAAAGAGTAACCTACTTTGGAGGGTCACTAAGAAAAACTGTTCAGTTGTCCACAGACTTGCTTTTTGAGATTTTTTTCTTTTTTTTTTCCCCAAATATATTGGTCTTTGGAAAGGAATAGAAGGTGATAGCATTGTTCTTCTTAATGGGAAAAAAATTACCTTGCAAGGGTCTCTTTAGGTGCTATGATCATTCTTTTGAGGAAGCAAAGTAACACAATGACAGTGGCATTAAAAAAAGTACCCCAAGTGGGATTTTAGTTACAAGTGTGTTGTTTTTAGAGCCTGAAAGAATAAATTATCATGATGAGTTTTTAATTTAAGAGGCTATGAGAAAGAAATGCAAAATTACATATTCGTTATATGCATGTGCACAGATGCTGTATTTTAATTGCTTCTTATGGCTGAAAATTTTTCAGTCCTAATTGGAAGGTCATCCTTTACTAAGCAGTTCTCCATGTGGTTGTTGTGGATTAAGTCCTGGTAGAGCTGCTTAAGAGCTGTGTCCTCTCAAGTATGTCTTGATGGAGGCTTTACCCATTGACTTAAAACCTGCTGGAACTTTAAAAATCTTAGGTAGAAGGGAGAAAAATTGCTTGTGGAAAAGCTACCCAGTTATATTCTAAATCTATCTTAGTGTTTGACAAGTAGGACTTGCAGTAAAGATAGTGGAAACATGGTTAGTATATGTTGTCCCAGCACAACACTGGTTTAATCTGATCAAAATAACTAAAGGCTTAAACTTACATGGCTCAGTAATTAGTAAGTTATAGCTAAGTGGAAAACAGATATTAGAGAAAGGTGTAAATGTCTGTTCCCCCATTTACTGAAAGTCTAGGCAACAAGAGTTAATAGATGCAATTCGTTCCTTTGGTATGCTTTTCTACCTAATAAAATCCATGAATCCTATAGAGTGCCATTTCTATTACTAGAGCAACATAGATTCACATGAAAAGAACTAAACAAAAATCATCGTATTTTATCCACTGGGTCCAGGATTAATTGCTTTATGATAGTTACTGAAAAGGGTGGAGGAGAGTCCAACAAAAGGAGTGCTTAATATGATGGGAACTCTGACTTCCATTTCTGCTTCCATTTCCATGTTTTCTCAAAACTGCATCCTGCCACATGTATTAATAGGGATGCATTGAAATTTAAAAAAGGTGGTGAGGACACAGTGGAGGTGAAGGTGCCAAACAAGATCTTGGTAGTTTCCTTGCTAACCATATCTTTTTGTTCAGAACACTTGCATGTTTTTAAAATGTGGCTTGTGGTAGAACTGGAATCCAAGATGTAGACCAAGTGAACTGCTAATATCTTGAAAAGGTTAAAATTACTGTATTCAAGAGAATGCTTCTATTTTGTGGACACTTGGAATTGAAACTTTGTTCTTGTGAATGGGGTGGTTTCTGAGGCTGCTGTTGACTAAAGGAGCAGGTAGGGCAGTGCACTCTACCATCTCTAATACAGTGATTAGGGAGGCTGGGGAAATATTCCAGACTATAGGAAGTGTCCAGGCTCATCTGCTTTCCCTAAATAGCTTCCCTGTCATCACTGCTGAGAACATGGGCTGAAGTCACAACTGCATTTCTTATGTTCTCTGTTCCTACACAGGCCTGGCTTCTCCAAGTGCTCTAACATCAGTAGCATCCCCATACAGTAACCGGCAGAAGTCTACAAAGCCCTTGGAAGGTAAGGAATAAAAATGACTGAGATAAGTCCAGGCTTTTTTACTTTCTGTCAATTAACAGGTTTTACTTTCTGGTTTGCTTAGAAATTGAAGCCAGGCCTGATATGCAATTGGAATCAGATATGAAGCTTGACAAGTTGGAATCGTTCTTGGGAAGGCTGAATAACAAAGGTTGGTAGAGTTATCAAAGGTGGCAGTGTATCCACTCTGACTTCAGTAAATGGATTAAAGTACCTCTTAGTTAAAATATCTGGTAACAGAAACTGAATATTTCTTTTTTCAGACTACACTTACTGATCACTTGCTTTATTTTTGTGATTCAGTCTTTACTAAATTTTAAGAAGAAAAGCGTTTCTCTATTGTATTACAAATGTACAATAGAGTAAATCACAAATGCCAGAATAACTTTCTTATTTCTCTACATGTGATGTACACATCCTTCTTGAGAGCAAAATTTCTTAAAGCCACACAGCCAGTCTAAACCATATTGCCATATAGTGAAACAGCTTTAAATGTAGTTTAGTGTTATTAAAATCAAGATAGGACACTAAGCTGCTCCAAGCACAATTCATTCACCTTCCTGCTTTTTTGAAAACTGACTTCTATAGCAGTTCTTCAGCTTCCTTGTACAGCTTGTTTGCTATTTATGAAGCTGTCTAGAGTTCTCCAGTGTTTCTATTTCATATGTCTGTCCTCCATTTGTAAGACAAAAAACCTTTTGTAATTCGTAATGTGTCAGATACCATAAACAAATGCGTTCACATTTCAGCAGAGGAGGCACTAGTGTAGAATAATGACTCTGCCATACTCACTAGTCTGAAGTAGTGACTTTTCCACTTGTAGTTCTAGTAGATCTTTTCAAAGGAAGGAATCATATGGTTGGATGCAAGATGGAATATAGAAGAAGTTAAAATGCTTATATCATCCTACCAAAACAACTCATTTTTTATAGTGCCCAAATTTTTCATTAAGCCATATTTCCCAAGCATTTTTGTATAATGATTATTGCATATGAGTAGCAGTTACACTGTTTTGATATTCTTTACCAACACTTTTCTACCATGAGTTAAAAAAAAAACACACACACACACAAAAAAACCAACAAAAACCAAAACACCACGACCCCTTCAAAAAAATCCCCACTCCAACACTACCAAACAAGGTATGTTTACCTTTCCTAGAGTTAGAAACTCTAGTATGATTATTACTGGGTAAGGTGTTTCTTTCCTGCAGTTGCTGGGATGCAAGAGACAGTGCTGACAGTTACAGGAAGATCCGTGAAAGAGGTGATGAAGCTGGATGATGATGAAACATTTTCCAAATTCTATCGCCATGTGGATTTCCCTTCTTCCTCAGTGCCTTTGGACCTTGATGAGGACTTTGATGCCATCTTTGATCCTTATGCACCAAAGTAAGAACTACTTTTTTCCCCATTGTTTTGAATGCAGACATAGGACCAGTGCTCAATGTTCAGCTCTAAGCCATCATGTAGGTAGGTGTCTTAGTACTGGGCATGGCCATTTCTTCTGCATATTCCTGAAATCACGCTCCCACATGAACTGAGGAACTGATCCTGATGTCTTGTCATTAGATGATTCTCCCTAGAAAAATTACCTGATGGTTATAAACACTGCTTGTTTTTCAGGTTGATATCTTCTGTAGCAGAGCACAAACGTGCAGTTAGGCCTACACGCAGAGTCCAGTCCTCAAGAAACCCACTGAAAATGCTGGCAGCAAGACAAGATATTCTTCATGAATACACTGAACAAAGACTGAATGTTGCCTTCATGGAGTCAAAGAGAATGAAAGTAGAAAAAAGTAAGCTAGAAGGGTGATTTGTACAAAACACCATCTTGCTATTTTAATTAAAAGTGAACCAAAATATCCCAACACAAAAGCCAGAAATGAAGGAATGGAACGTACTCTCTGAGTGGCAATAAACTGATTGAAGTCCAAGGTTGAATGTAGACGGTCTAGGAGGTCTGCAGAGAAGGGTCTGTGTGACTTCCTCAGGGAAAGCTACCTACAACCCCCTCCTGCGTGTAGGTTTAATTATTTATTTTTAGCACAGTCACCTTGTGCAGAGAGAGAGAGAGAGTGTGCCACAGTGCCTGCAGGGTGAGGACAGGAGATCAAGGAAAGCAGATCCAATGTTACGTTATGCTGGGGCAAGAGCTGGCAAGAATAGATGAACTTTTGTTCAGGTACACTGGCCTCAATTTTGGGTCCTAATTTTCTCTCAGAAACTAGAATTAGCCTTCTTGACTCCTAAAGAGTAATTTCCATAGAGGATCAGGGCTTTGTGTTTTACTTGTGACATTGCTTTCTCCTGACAACCAGGAAGACAGCAAAAGACATTATTGTAAGATTTATTCAAAGGTTTGTCAAGCCACTCTTACCATTTGGGGTACAAGTTTTCCTTATTACATTTGAATAAAGAAAGATCATCTTTAAACATTGACTGTATTGATGAAAATGCTAATTATGTGTGTAATACTTTCTTGCCATCTCATGAGAACCATTTCCCTGAGTTATAAATTCATGAAGTGCTTTGTCTTTGGTTGAGCAACAAGCAGAAGTAGCCAAGAATTTGGGCTTTACGTTTACAGTAAAACATGACTAAGACTTTGAACTGCAAATGGCTCTTGCATCACACTGTCTGAGCCAAATTTTAAGGGAATATCAGTTAATTAGCCTTGAATCTCTGCTGTCTTTTATTATTAATGACTTATAAGGCATTGAAGATCTACACAGTACTTCACAAAACATTGGGTAAGACATGTTTCCTAACAGAGTTGGTGTTTCTGCCAAATAACATAATTCCGATGCCAACTCTTGGATGATATCTAGAAACTTAGGTAATCCTAAACCCATAAACCTTTTGGGCTAGTGGTTAATCTGAGTTCAACTTGGTTTTGCTGTTTCTATTGATAAGAAGAAAAGCTGGAAATAATGGACAGAAATTATTTTCTTAATGCAACACCCAATTTTTTAATATAATTTTGTCCTTTTTGTGTGTGTGTCTTTCCTCCAACTTCTTTTTATGTACAAGTGTCTACAAACTCAAATTTCTCAGAAGTAGCACTTGCTGGCCTGGCAAGCAAAGAGAACTTCAGCAACATTAGCCTGCGGAGTGTTAATCTAACAGAGCAAAACTCTAACAACAGTGCTGTGCCATACAAGAAGCTAATGCTCCTGCAAATTAAAGGTACGCTGCAACTGCTTTTACTTTCCATAAATAATAGACTGAATGTAACATGTGGGAGTTGCTACCACAGTTGGATGTTTAGCTTGCTCTAGATCTTCAGCTCAAGATTTCTGTCCAAAACTTAAAAGAATAAGTGACAACTGCGTGACTGAAGTTAAACCTTACAAATAAGTTTGCTTTGTGCCACTGGTGTGTGTCTTCCAGGGAGAAAAACACAGTATTTCAGAAATTCTAGCCATCTCCTATGGAAATTTTTTAACTGTCCCACTCTTCCAGTGCTCAGTATAACTCGGAAGTGACATGACAGTGTTCTTGCTCCACTTCCCCTTACAGTGCGTAGTAATGTATCTGATTCTGCAGAAATAATAGCTACTATTTTGGCAAAGTAAAATTCCTAACACCTTTTACTGCCTACGGATACTCTGTCATAGCCTCACTTAAGCAAATGTAAAGGGTTCTGGAATTTTGCTGCTGTCTGCCATTTACTTAATTCATTTCTTTCCAGAAGGACACAGAGTTGTTAAACCAAGAACAGGAAATAATAGAAATATTAGTTGATAGGAGACAAATTATTTTGTTTTCTATGAGTAAACTCTTTTTTCACAGTAGTAGTCTTTTAATTCTTCTTTAACAGTCTGTTTCCATATATTTTGCTAAATGTGCTGGGGTTGTTTGTATTTCATTGAAAACAAATTAGATCTTGGCACCAGATAGTAGTAGTTGAAGGAATAAAATTAACTTTATTTTCTCTTTAGGAAGAAGACATGTTCAAACAAGATTAGTTGAACCTAGAGCCTCATCACTGAACAGTGGAGACTGTTTCCTGTTGTTAACTCCACATTTATGTTTCTTATGGGTAGGAGAGTTTGCAAATGTCATAGAAAAAGCAAAGGTCAGTACTATTTTGGGGGTTTATTATTTATTTTTAGAACTCTTGCAGTATATTTCTCTTTGATCAATCCTTGGTGGCAGTTCTCTCAAAAAGTGGCATGTAACTGATAGTCCATGACAGGTAGATATGCAGGATTTCTGAAAATATGTTTTAGCCCATGCACTGAATGAAAGCTGATGTAGGAGCATGTAGGTTGTGAAGCTGCAAGAGAAAAGAGGATATCCTCAGGATACAGATTTGGACTCAAACAAAAATAGTCTGAATTGCAGGATGTCCTTTTTATTCCCATGTTCATTGAGATCAGGTCTTGTTTTAAGGTAAATGGAAGAATGAATGCATTTCTGTAACTTTTTTTCCAGTGTCTGTTTATTTAGTGCAACAAATAATAACCATTTCTTCTGTTATTTGCTCTATTATATCCCATTTGTACTGCACAAGAATTCTAAAGACTTAAGCAATCCTCTTCAGATAATTGTTAATCTCTTAGGCTTCAGAACTTGCAACTTTAATTCAGACAAAGAGGGAACTTGGCTGTAGAGCTTCTTATATACAAACTATAGAAGAAGGAATAAATACCCATACCCATGCAGCCAAAGACTTCTGGAAACTCCTTGGTGGACAGACAAATTACCAGTGTAAGCATTCTTATAGTTACAATATCTGATGTTCTATCACAGTAAAACAGTTGAGTCAGTTCTGTTTAGTAAAAGATGTTAATTCTTTTATTATTTTTGACAATCTTTTCCTTAAGCTGCTGGAAGTCCTGAAGAAGATGAAATGTATGAAGCTGCAATAATAGAAACAAATTGCATTTACCGCCTTGTAGAAGATAAGCTCATTCCTGAGGATGACTACTGGGGAAAGGTGCCAAAATGCACCCTGCTACAACCAAAAGAGGTATTGTGCCACTTACTGCTCCTGTGGTAAGTGCAGGAACATGTAGCTGATAATGACTTTCAGTAACTGCAAATGTTCATGGAGAGGATCACTGAAAATTGGGTCCTCCGTACTTCTGAAAGGCTTCTGAACACTTTGCTGTCTAGAGTGTGCTACAGGTTTCAAGAAATTTGATCATGTTATCTTTAAAGTGAAATACCATTTTAGGAGGTGTAAACATTTTTGTCAACAGTGGCTCACTCCAGAATCATGAAGTGCAAAACAGGTAGCACTTCAGAAAAACAAAACAAAATAAAACCCTGTTTTTATTTCTATCCTTAGCAGACTTTTCCCTTTCAAACAACCATTTCACCCATCTAAGTCAGAATCAGAGCAGATTTCTAAACTAAAGACACAATGCATTTTCTTGAAAGTATTGAGTCACTGCCTGTTTGCTGAGCCAGTTACCCATGTTGTGCTCTGTCAGCCTTTCCTGGCTGCAGGACAAGGCATAGGTCAAAATGTCAGGGAAAGCTGCTGTAACCAGACAGCAATCAGTCATGCAATGGAATCAGGTTTTTAGCAATAAGAGCTCTCTGATCTGCTAGTGACTTAGCTGCCACCTAAAGATACACCTCACAGCATTCCCCATACTTGCTTCCAATCATCCTCAGCAATTAGACATCACCGTACAGACCACTGCCCTGTCCATACTTGCAGTGCAGTGCTACTTGTTAGTGTCCTGCAGAAACTCACATATTTGGAGGAATTTGTGTTCAGCACAAGGAAACTGGACGATCAGGGTATCACCTAACCTAATGGTAGGTTGTTGGTGTTTTATATTTGGTTTGGTTTTTAGGTGCTGGTGTTTGATTTTGGCAGTGAAGTATATGTATGGCATGGAAAGGAAGTTACTTTAGCACAGAGAAAAGTGGCATTCCAGCTGGCAAAACACTTGTGGAATGGCACCTTTGACTACTCCAATTGTGACATAAATCCTCTGGATCCAGGAGAATGCAATCCCCTTATACCCAGGTATTGTAACTTAAATTTATTCTCATTGCAGATACCTAGTTTTCTTGTCCTTTTTTCACAGTGTTTAATTTGATTCTATGTCTTTTGTTCCCTTGTACAGAAAGGGACAAGGACGCCCAGACTGGGCTGTGTTTGGCAGACTCACAGAACATAACGAGACCATACTGTTCAAAGAAAAATTTCTTGACTGGACAGAACTGAAGAAACTCAATGAGAAGAATTCTAGTGAATCCCTTCACCAGAAGGTGCATATAATAAACATGCTAGGTATTTCAAACTAGGTGACTTAGCTGGGATAAAAGCCAGGGAAGCTTGTTCTCAAGGAATCCAGAGCACATTTATTATCTTGTGAGCTTTGACCTAGGGGTCAGAGCATCACCTCCTACAGTGAACCCCTAGAGTTGCTTTATATTATTATTATTTATATAGTATTATATATATAAATATATATATATAAAAAACAATTAATTAATTAATTCTATATGAGCCAGGCAGTTCAATGAATGCTGCCAAGGTGGCTTTGACAAGATACTAAAGTACTGAAATATTCAGAAGTCAAACTGGTTGACTGGAACGGTGGGGTAAGAAGAAAAAAAGCTATGTTCAAAGAAATCTCTCCTTTGTGTTTTTGACAGGAAGAATCCAGATCTGACTCTAAACCATATGATGTCATGTTAATGGTACCTGTGCCTCAAACAACTGTAGGCACTGTCTTGGATGGAATGAATATTGGCCGGGGCTATGGACTTGTAGAAGGAGAAGATGGGAGGCAGTTTGAAATTATCACTGCATCTGTGGATGTCTGGCACATTCTGGAATTTGACTACAGTAGACTACCTAAGCAAAGCATAGGGCAATTCCATGAGGGAGACACATATGTGGTGAAGTGGAAGTACATGGTGAGCACTACAGGTTAGTGAACAATTCCATTTCATCCTGCTGAAACATGGAGAAGTGCAACTAAAACTGCTGCTCCTAGTGGTGAAATCCAGACCTAGACTTCTTTGGATAAGAGGCTGTTTTAAAGGTTGGGGCTGATAATTTAGCCTTCCTAGGCCATAAGAAGTGGAACTTCTTATTTTATTTTGTTAAAAGAAAGCAATAGAAAAAAAAAGTAGTTGTTTTTCATACATCAGATGTAATGCTGTCCATCTCTGCTTTTGCCCAGCATTGTGGTGTACACATTCACAGGACAGCTTATTAAGCCAGAATTGTGTCCACAGCTTAACACCAAAATAACAAGGCAGCTGGACTAATGACAGTGGTCTGAATGTCTTGCAAGAGACATAGGCTTAGTAACAAGGAACGCCTTTGCTGGATAGTTGAGATAGGTAACAATGACAGGAAAAGCTCTTGCCAACCCATTGCCCTTGCTGTCCCTTTTGCTGTTGCTGGAAACCTTTTGCTGTGGGTTTCAGGCTCAGCAGTGTTCTGACAAAGAGCCTGAGTGCAGCAGGTAAAGGCTGAGAATCAGTCAGCTCAGGAAGCCCGTTGGAACTTGCCCTTCTGACAGTAAACTAAGAATAGGTGGCTTTTGTGGTAAATTAAATAGAAATAGTCTAAAAATGATTGTTGGAAATAGAAGTATATTAAAATCAATTGAAAGCAGTGTAACAGTTATACAGCTTCAGGCTTTTAGCCAAAAACCGTAGGTAGGTCTTAGTCAAGATCGTTGAGTTCAGATACTGGCAAATCCAAGAAAAACATGAAAGCTTGTAAGTCTTGGGAGAAGTTCACTAATACTGAACTGTAAACAGACTTCTAAGCCAAATGGATGAAAACATATTCCATCACTCCAAAACAGAATAAATTTTTATGTAGGAGGCAGTACTTTTATGAGCTGAATGTACAGATAGGAGTGAAAACCGTAAATTTTAGAAGTGAGTAGTGGTTTGAATATTCTCAACTTGAAAAAAACAGGATACTTTCTCCTAAGTGTTTCAGTTGGATGCTGCTCAGCACTGCTGGAATCAAGACAGAAGTTTTAATACTTTTTTAAGAATCTGTTTTAAAACTCTTAGCTTTTCTTAAAGCTTTGGTTTAGTTATATCCGTTTATTCCTTATTCACTGGAAAGAGTGAAATATTCCATAATTGGTTGTATTGTTGAACTTCATTTACTGTAAACATTATTTGTTTATCATAATAACTAAATACTGATCTTTAAAAAAAAAAAAAAGTTGCTGTTTTCCTGCTGCCAAGGAACAGTGTGTAATGTGGAAAATGAGCCATAATGCACTCTTCTGGTAATATAACTGGACATACCATTTCACATGCAAATTGGCTCAAGTGCTGTCAGTTATTTTTCTCCAGATAGTACCAATCTTTCTATATCTCTTTCTCCTGCCAACAGAGGCTTCTCTGCCTGGGGGGCTCACATCCACCTGAGGAGACAATGCCAACTCTGCATGGGGACACACTGGCTTGGAGGCTTAATGTTCCTCCAACTGGACATTTTATCTTCCCTGTTCTGGATGGGATAGTGCTGAGCTGGCAGATGAGATTAAACCATGTGCTGTTTAAACCTATAGCCAGCATACTTTCTTCAGCATGTGCTTTCTGTTTCACAGTTGGAAGCAGACAAAAAGGAGAGCAACAAGTAAGGGCTGTTGGAAAAGAGAAATGTGTATATTTCTTTTGGCAAGGAAGGCACTCCACAGTGAGTGAAAAAGGAACATCGGCACTGATGACAGTGGAACTCGATGAAGAGAGAGGAGCACAGGTGAGCTTTCTAGGTGGCAGAACTGGTAAGATTTGCCTTCCCAGGTAGCCACTAATGGTAAATGGAAATTGTCTTTTTTGGCGTCCTCCCTTTCTGTAAAGGTGTTCTTGCCATTACAAATAGTCAGACCTCAGAATTACTTTTGGCGTTACTCCAACTGCCAGAGACATGTAAGCTCCTTTATGGATTGTCATTCCCAAATCTCACTTCTAAAGATTATACTTCTGAGAAAGGCTGAAGGAGGTCTTCTCTCCTTTCAGGAATATGTGAAGCACATATTCATGCCTTCAGTTCAAGTACATGTTCAGATAACAGAACTGTCTTCCTAGTGCTGAGAGGAAGCACTTTCTGCAGGCCAAGACCAAAAAATTAATTTGAAATTTTTAATTTGTTTACTCTGTAATTAGACATAAATGGCCTTGTTTTTTATAGATTCTAACAAATGCAGATGCAGCTAGTTTGAAGCCAAGAGGACAGGCTAGCTTTCTTTGTCTTTAGGCAGACTTGGGCTATACTGTGGCTTCACCATTACCAGCATCCGAGGTGGGAGGTTTAAAGTTAGTTCCTATACCTTGATCATGCTGTAATTACTTTTTTTAACAGCAGTGTAGACATGACCAGCAAGACAGGAGTTCATAGAATAGAAATGTAAATGCCCTTGTTCAAGAGCGAGTCTCTGCAACAAAGCTGATGGAGCAATTTGCCATGTCAGTGTCATACTCAAAATACAACATTTAGTGAGCAGATAACGTGCACGTTGTCACAGGAACCAGTTTTACAGCAAATTTTGAACCCATTTCAGTTCCTCAGTTACCTCTGTAATGGTTTCAAAGAACATCAGTGAAGGTGGACCAGTTCTATAAAGAGTTCAAATAATGGTTGGAGTTTAAACCAATCTAAATCAAAGTTTAGTTGGTATTCCTTATCCTCTGAAACTCTTGATTGTTGGATTCTAGCTAGAAGTTTCTTTTAATATGCAGGTCACATATGAAACCCATTGCATGCTGATATATGGTAATTTAAACAATAGTCAGCAGTTTTAAAGCAAAAGGAAAGCCATAACTATATAATTTTTAATAATCCATAGAGTCTAGTTTTTCTGAGTCTGTATACTTGCTTCATTTTTCTAATGAAAAGTGGTGCTTTCAATTTCCAGGTACAAGTGCTTCAAGGGAAAGAACCCCCATGCTTCCTGCAGTGCTTCCAAGGAGGGATGATTGTGCATGCTGGAAGAAGGGAAGAGGAAGAAGAAAATGCACAAAGTAAATTATTGTTAGTTAAGAGCTTCTGCCCCAAAATCCTTTTTTAGATATTGTGGAGGGCTTTGAATTCAGTCTCAACTACCATACCCTGTAGAAAGAGGAAATTAATGCCATGAAACTCCTAAGACAGCTTTGCAATGCTTTGTTTCAAGGTAGTCTGTTTCTTCTTTGAACATAGAAAGATTGTATTGGTGCACATATAAATTGTTCTAGTTGGTTTCTAATTAAGCTAAGTACCTGTTTGCTTTAAAATGTATTCTTTTTTACATAGTCTGGGGGGGAAAAAAGGTGTTTTTATGAGCAGTTCTTCTACTCCAAGGAAAGCTCTAAGCTTTTGTTACCCAGTCACTCCTTTTTGTAACATATTCCTTGAATGCTATAGTTGAGGTAGGAGAATTTCAATGCAAGTGTAGCTTGGACATGTTCCAGTTTGCACCTGAATGTGACCTTCTGTGCCTAAGGTGCAGAGGGGAAGAGGAGCTGATAGGAATACTGTATTTGTCTTCCTTTTCCCCCCTTATGAAACAGCAGAACTTGACTGTATTGCTCTGTTAAGCTCTTCAGCTCTCATTACTTGTACTCTTGTAGCAAGGTTTCAGAAGGCATCTTTTCTGTACTGGGGTTTCTCAAGTAGTGTTAGCCAAACCTGGTGCTTAGCTAGTTTGTTCTGTGACCATGTAGGTAATGCAGTAGGTGAAATTCATCCAGTGTGAGAACAGCTGTTCCAGAGGAGAGGGTTTGAATTTTCAATGCCATGTGACTGTGTAATGCTGCTGCACTGTTCCTGTCTGCTCCAGGTGACTGGAGGCTATATTGCGTGCGAGGAGAAGTTCCCAATGAAGGAAACTTACTTGAAGTAGCATGTCACTGCAGCAGCCTGCGCTCCCGGACATCCATGATTGTCCTCAATATAAATAAAGCTCTTATCTACCTGTGGCATGGCTGCAAAGCTCAATCTCACACCAAGGATGTAGGAAGAACAGCAGCCAATAAAATAAAAGAACAGTGAGTGTCTGACCTATATTTTGGAGATGGTTATATAGGCTATCAATTTACTTAAAATAGTCTGACTCAAAGAAAATTTGAAATAAATAAATCTGTCTTCTGAGTACAAATGCAACTTGTGCATGCTTGGTGAGGAGGACAAGCTGGTTTGGTAGAGGGGAGAAAATGTTCTGTAATCACTTTCACTGAAGGTCGAATGCTTTTATTAATAGACTCATAGAATGGTTTGAATTGGAAGGGACCTTCAAGATCACCTAGTTCCAACCCCCTTGCCAGGAGAGACACCTTCCATTAGACCAGGTTGCTCAAAGCACCTTGAAAACTTTCAGGAATGGGGCATCCACATTCTTCTACTGTACTAATTACAGTTGCAAAAAAACCCAGACACTTTCTATTTGGAGGGCTCAATATCTGAATACCAAATTAAATTACAGTTGATAAGAGGATTAGAGTCTACTCTTGTGAATAAGGATGAGGAAATTATTTTGGGAAAGCATGCAAGGAGGCCATCAGCAGTTACAAAAGCAGGTAGTGAAAATCCCTACTTGAGAGTTCACGTAAGCATCTCTTCCACTCTGGGAATGGGATCAGAAATGGTATGAGAATGGTTGTTGAAATTCCCCATCTTGTTTTTTGATAATTTTTCAAAGTGCTTGTGTTGACATGAAGTGTACAACAAGCCTAGAGGGTACTTTTGGGTTCTAATAATGCAAATGGCCAACAGGTTTGTGTTAGCTGTGTTTGGGGCAGGAACACTGGGTTCACTCTCTCTCTCTTTGTGTTTTGTAGATGCCCACTGGAGGCAGGGCTGCACAGCAGCAGCAAGGTGACAATTCATGAATGTGATGAAGGGTCAGAGCCCTTGGGATTCTGGGACGCGTTAGGAAGGAGAGATCGAAAGGCCTATGATTGCATGTTGCAAGGTAGATCTGCCTTCCTGGATTTGGCACTCACATTTGACTTTACTGGTCTATGGTATTGTAAGATTTAATGTAAAGTTTGTGAAGAACTTCTTGATAGTTGAGATGATCCCTTCAGAGAGATGCTTCCAAAAATCTACTGAGTTAAGTCATACTTTTCTAGAATGAAAGTGCTGGAAAACCAAGTGTTTCATTTTGTTCTTCCCCCTTCTGCTGCCATCTGTATTCAGGCAGCTCAGAGCAAGAGTTAACACTGTTACCAGTACACTTTGCTTCTCTTCTGAAGGGATTTAGGAGGCACTTCTGCACACATTCCCATCCAGTCTTTGCATTGAAACTGCCCACAAAGGTAGCAGGGGAGTGGATTTACCAAGTGGAAAATTTGTTAGCTAACTCTGAGTGAGCTTGCTTCAATTAAGCTGCAAAACAGCCAGTTATGAAATGGCTGATAGTAACTAGCTAGGATCAGATTCAAACTGATGGCAGCCAGCCGTTTAGCTCAACTTCTTCACAGCTGTTGCTAGTCCGCCAAGACATCTGGTTGTCTTTCCTGATTTTTCAAAAACCAGAGAATTTACAGTCACTGTAAAAGTGACTGTAAATTATGTTTTTATTTTTCACAATCATCTCTGACATTTTCTGTTGCAAATCTTCTTAAATTTTGTTCTTTTAAGATCCTGGAAAGTTTAATTTCACCCCCCGACTGTTCAGCCTCAGTAGTTCATCAGGAGAATTCTCAGCCACTGAGTATGTTTACCCTTCAAGAGACCCTGCTGTCATCAATTCCATGCCATTCTTGCAAGAGGATCTTTACACTGCCCCACAACCAGGTATATGCTTTAAAATACTTAAGTAACAGGAAAACAGATAACTGTATCCTGCAGCAGACAGTGCTTCAGTAGCTGTAAGCACTTTTAACTTGATTTATTGCAGGAAAATGTGTGCACGTGATGCTTATACAGCATTAAGAAATAACTAATTTTTCCCTTACAAAGATGCTGAGAACTAATCGAATGTATATGTATCCTAAAAGCTTGCTGTAGAAATACATTGTTTATGTCAGATAATCAGAGTCCATCTGAGGTTTAGCTGGATGATTAACAAAAGGGATTGGTAAACTGTGAAAGGATCCTGTTGTCATGCTGACAAGCATGTGAGACTGGGGTTGTTTAGAGGATTATAAGAACTAATAAGTGGCTGATGATGGGTTTGTTATTTTCTGACTCCTTAGCACTGTTCCTTGTTGACAATCACCATGAAGTGTACCTGTGGCAAGGCTGGTGGCCTGTGGAAAACAAAATCACTGGATCAGCTCGAATCAGGTGGGCTACAGACAGGAAATGCGCCATGGAGACAGTGCTCCAGTACTGCAAAGGTAACAGATTGCTGTGCCTGACTGCTTTGAGAGTGTCATACCTTTACATGCCTTGCCGTCTTGAGCTGAAAGGTGCTCCCCCTATTTTATCAATAAACATCAGCTTATTTGAAGATACATTCTCAACTCTTTCTTAGCAAAGAATTTGCCTAGTAATAGCATTGTTCCCAAATTGCCAAGATACTTTGCTGACTTAATTCTCAGAGGAAAGGTTTTATTTTTTTTCTGTGCCCCTAGTGGAGGAGAATAGCTCAGACATCAGATCTCTAAAAGTGAATACTGAGAACACAGCCTCGTAAACCTGAATGCTTTCTGTATAGCTCCTCTTAAATTTCATAAGCTTCTGTGTATCAAAAAGACTGAATGAAGATACTGTTGGCTGATGTAACTGGGTGTTGATTTAGTGGGAGAGGTGGAAAGACTTTGAAAATCAAGAGCAAGTCTCACATGGAAACTGGTGGCTATTGGAAATTCCGGAGGACAGAGCCTCAGCTCTGTCCTCATTTCTGCAAGATAGTTGTTGCCACTCAGTGTGCAGTGATTCAAGCTGCATTTGATGATCATGTAAGAGTACAGTGCCTAGAGATTATTTTCTGCACTAGTAGAGGTTCTTTGAGACACCATAATGCTTGCCTTCTCACTTCATCTACTATTATGTGAGGCTGAGAACAGTCCTTGCATCTTCTGACAGAAGATGAATAAAGAAAGGTGCGAAGTTACCATGCAGGAGAGAGGGCATAAATAACAGCCTTGTTCGTTAATTCAGAGCAGTTTCCCACTGTGAACAAGTCGCTGGGCTTAATTGGTGCAAACTGTGTCCTCTTGCAAGGAAATCCTAATTGCTTATAGACCTTGAGACCTCATTATGCCACTGATTTCTTCTGTAGCAAATAAACTTCATAACTTGTGACACAGTGAATGGTAATGCATTGTCTCCCATGGACATTTGTATATTTGAAGAGGGAAAGTGATATCCTGGTTGGATTCCATCCTTATGCCGATAAGCCAGTCTTTGCAATGTTTAGGTCAAATAGGAGTAACAACAAGTGTTGTGTTTCAGTTGTCTTGTGTCACTGAGTGGAGTTGGTAACACCTGGCAGGAGACAGCTGAAAACCCGTACTCCAGACATTGAAATGTGACCTTTACTGGACTGCATTATGGCTCAGTGTGGTTCATCAGGTGTCTCTGGCACTGCCCTGCAAAACAGCAGCATTTGTTTAGGAATGGGGGGCTAAAGACAGGGCAGTTATTGGAAGAGTCTTTGGCTTTGACTGCAGAATTCCTAAAGAAGAGGCCAGTTGCTTGTTCACCACCACCCCCAGTTTTTGCAAGTCAAAGATTCATTTCTTTGAAGCCATGTCACACAGCGTGCTTCACAGCAGCAGTGAAGGTCAGCACAGAGGAACAGAGTCCCATGCAATGAAGTGCCCAGAGCTGCTCAGCAGGCTAGGGAGAGATGAAGGTAAGATCCCAGTCTCATGCACTCCCTGATGCAGTGCTATAATCTTCTGGTAATGAAAGTCATGTTTTCTGGTCCCAGCCAGAGATTGAATCAGATGCACATGCTGAGGTTTGGATACTTTTCCAGATTTCTTGAACTTTGAGTTTGATGATGGGAAAAGGGATTAATGCCTTCTGCACTAGATTGAATTTGCTGCATTCAAGTTTTATGCACAGTGGGAAGTTCTTCAGTGATTCTTCAGGGGTCTGAAGTTTAACTCGTGTATCATAGGACAAGTTATTTTGCTGGGTGCTCACTTTGCAGCACTTGTGGGTTTTAATTTCTTTACCATGGGTATTTCTCAAGAGTTTCAGGCTGTGTGGTAGGATAGATACAGAACAAGTTTGTTACTGTTAAAAGACCAATTCTGCTCATACTATTTCTATGCTAAAGATGATGCACACTTCTGTAGCAGTTTTTTTCCATTCAAACTATGCTGTTCTGGTGGTGTGTTGCTTTCATGATCTGGAATTTTGTCAAGCACTTCAAAATTTCACTGCATCAAGCTGTCAGGGTTGTCTAGCTCTTATGTGGTCTTACTTATCAAGGTGTAGAAATTTAATTTCAGGAGTTATTAAGGCTGCTGTAATTATTTTGACTACCAGAATGTAGTTGAGTGATCAGAAGCATTAAAATAATTTTTTCTTATTTTTCCTCTCCATTTCTTTCCTCATCTATGTCCCCCTTTTCCTGCCCCTCCCCTTTTTCTTTTCCTGGCTTGCAGTGTTTGACTACATGATGGCATGAAAGGGACTGATTAGCAGCTCTGGATATCCCTTGAATATATGTATCAGTTTCCCTTGTGCATAAATCTCCTTTAACTTGTCAAAATATCTTGAAATTTTTTCTGTAGTTTTATTTGCTAAATCAGCAGTCTGGAGAGTCAAGCTCCAGATTGCCAGGAGAGGGAAGAATCTGGTTTGCCCTTCAGTGATACTTACTGAGGAGATCAGCTTGTGCTGAGGACAGAATTCATGGAATGAAAATATTTCTCCACTTATATATAAATTCATCTTACCTATACTGGAACATTGCAAACACCACTCTCTTTTTATTCTTGGCTGAATTATTGAGAGCAGCACAACTAGAACAGATTCACATGGTTTTTTAAATGCACATATTTTTAAGTATTTTTTTAATAGTTCATGGTAGAATGAACAAATAAACCACAGTGAAAATATGTGAAAGAGAAGGTTTAAAATCAAGTACTCAAATGATAAATCCTCTGTCTAAATTCTAATTCACATTCTAATACATTTGTTAGACTGCTCCACAGAGCTTTTACCTCTAATATGCAGTTTCATATGAACATATTCTCTCAACATCTGAGGTAAGGCCAAACCTGTAGCATTCAGATTTTGCAAACCTAAAGGAACTCCCACGTCCAACCAGACCCTCTGTTTGCATTCAGCAAAGGTGTTGCATGAGTTCCCTAGGGTGCTCCTTAGCAATGGGGAGGAGCTGTGTTCTTTTAGACCCTCCTGCCCGACAGCCCACAGGCATCAAGGGCAGGTAGGGACTACAGTAAAAACCAGGGCCTTCTGCAATGGAGGAAGTCTTAGGGCGTTAAAGATGCTCTGAGACTGAATGTAAGGAATAACAGAATTTTTTAATAAGCAGTTCTTACAGAAGCTACAGCTCTCAGAAGCGAGGTCATGTCATGTTACTCTGTTACTTTCACCTGTGAGCTTTGCACCATCTTCGGCTTTTCCATTGCCCATCTGGAAAAAAGATTTGTTTAGACTGAGTTGTTTGAATCTGAGTAAGATGAAGGTCAAATATATTTTTTGAATTATAGTTTCTCTCAGTCCCTGGCTGCCTGTCTACCTCTTTTCAATAATACTTGGAGTTTATCAGGGCTTTCGAATCCCTGGGGAATGAAATCATTCCCTTTGTTCACTAGGACGTGGCATCACTGCTGGGCAGGGTTATGTCCATGTCCTGCTACTGTGTGCACAAATACATGTTTTAAAGAAGCAGGACTCTCTTGGAAAATCATCAGTAAATACTATCCAGCTATTGCAATACCTCTGTTAACTTTCAGATCCAATTCCTTTGAATTCATAATAACAAAATTATTGTGTTACACTTCAGTATCCCAAGAACAGTTTAAACATTCTCACTTAAGCCTCCAAGCTTAAGCTTTGTCGGCTGCTGGCAGGACACTTCTGCTGAGCATGCCAGAAGGTTTCATTTACCTGAATTTGGCTGATTTCAGACCATTACACTCTGCTTACTCTATTCAAACACTGTTTTTGTAAGACAAGAAAGGCACTGGGTTAGGAGTAGCTTTTGGAGATTTTCAGCATACATGTTTTGATCTTTGTGGTGAGATACAGTAAACTGCAGGTCTAAGAATACTGAAGAACATGTTAGAAGGTCCCATGCTAATTTTCAAGAAAAAAAAACCTGTTGAAATTTATTCTTACTGCCTTAAATTACTTCAGCTTTTCAGGAAAGAATTAAACATTCTAAGGAGGTAGCTTTGGATAGTGGGTTGCATTGCAAAATATGGTACCATTTGTAATTTCTCATTTATCCTTTTTTTTCTTTTTTTTTGGATTTTGACTGTTTTTAGGAAAAAATGTAAAGAAGCCCCCAAAATCCTATCTAATTCATGCTGGCCTAGAGCCTCTGACGTTCACTAATATGTTCCCAAGTTGGGAACACAGGGAAGACATCGCGGAGATCACAGAAATGGTAAATCTTTTCATTGCACTGGCTGTTTCCTATTGCTAGTAACTGTGTCTTATGTTGTCAGTAACATTTGTTTGTGCTGTTTATGACAGCTTGTTTGTGCTGTCAAGCCCCCCAAGATCCAGAGAATGAACTTAGAAAGCACAGTTCAGGAGTCTGCGCAGGAAAAAAAAACAACAACATAGCTGAAGTCTGACTGGGAGCATGAATATCAGAGGCATTCCTTGTTGCTTTTTCATGTAACTTTTCATATTCTCTTTTTGTTAAAAACAGGAAGAAAGTGTTACCTGAATCATCTCTTAGAAAGAGATGTGCTAGAGTTTAGCAGAACAGCTGTTTCAATCATGCAACAACATGCAGTTCTGGTCTGTCCACTAGATTTAAAGTGCAGGGGAGCAAAACACCCTGCAAAGGAGCAGCTGGCTCTAAAGGCTCCAGTACTGACTTCCTCACCTGGGATGTAGAGTCACAGCCAAATTACGTGTGGCTGCTTTAAAAGCTTCCAGTCAAGAGGCATCTCAAGGCAAATGACATTTTCTGTTTTGTAAGTCTTCTGCAGCCATCTTTAGTGCAAAACACTGGCTTCATGACTAAACGCAGATTTCAGCCTCAAACTGAGTACAGGACATCCTTCTGCTAAGTGCAGACGTGTTTTTAGCTGTGAAATTGTTGTAGGGCAGGGCTTTTGGCCTCTGTGCACAGCTCTGTGCTCCATGGCCCAGGCAGAGCAGGTTATCCCATGCTATCTGCAGGATTCCATGAGCACAGTTGGTGGTTTCAGCATTGTGATCCTGTTCTCCATTTTCCTTTTCTCTTCCAGGATGCGGACGTTTCTAATCAGATAATACTTGTAGAGGATGTGCTAGCCAAGCTGTGTAAAACCGTGTATCCATTAGCAGATCTTTTAGCTAGGCCTCTGCCTGAGGGAGTTGATCCACTGAAGCTTGAAATTTATCTTTCAGATGAGGACTTTGAGGTAAGAAGAGAATAGGTGCATTGTTACTCTCTGCATCTGTGTCTAACCATGCAGTAAAGCCATTTGCCGGTTATGCTACTTAAAAGTGGTTTTGCTAATGGCATATCCTCTTGTTTTAAATGCAGGTTGCATTAGAGATGACAAGAGAGGAGTACAATGCACTGCCATCTTGGAAGCAGGTTAACCTGAAGAAGGCAAAAGGACTTTTCTAAGCTGTGTTTATGGGAGTGAGCACTAAAGGGATGTCCGTTCTCACTTTCTATGTCCTTTAGAAGAATTGTACCCTATATTTACAGAACAAATAGAAATAATCTGAAGTTATTAGTGACTACCTATCTGGAGGTGTGTAATATTATAAAAGGCCAAGAGAACTCTTTGAAAATGGAATTCAGTTTTGACTTTTAAAGGCAACATGTTTAAGCTCGGCTCTCCTATGCACTTAAACAGTAGTTTCTTGAACTACTGCTTCAGGTGTCCTTTGGCTATATACAATACTTGCCATTTTTGTTTTTAAAGAAGTTCTCTTTGTAAAGTGTTATTTTGTTAGTTTGTGGATTACAAAGAATTTATATTTATATAAACACATAGAACAAGTATGTATTTAACAATGCAATATATATTCACTTTCGAGACTTTCATGTCAAAACTACAGAAAAGTAGCTGGATGGCAGTTGCTTGTACTGAATTAGCTATACCACCAATATGTATCTCCTACGCATTCTGAAAAGTTTCTCTTTGCAATAGTTTAAGAATTGTTCTCAGTGCTGCTTCAGGTGCTAAACCGAACAAAGCGTTTGTATTTATAGCATGGATTTCTTGAGAAACTATGCGAATCAACCTTTATACTTTATTATCCAAAAATGTATAGTGCCTTGTTTTTTGTGTACAGTTTATATACAAAAAAAAAAGATTGGTCTGCATTTTGAAGATGGCTTAGAACAGTCTCCCATGTTACTTTTATAATAGTAGAAATAAAAACATCTCAGTTTCTAATACTTGTTGTAAACATTAAAAATGTCTTTTGTGATATAAGAACTGAAAGTAAAAGCTTCTGAATAAACTCCTAGCGATGCTCTGGCTTGTCATTATCTTGTACTGCTAAGTAATTGGAACCTTCCATAACATGGTATTTTCTCAAAATATTTTAACTTTAGATGTCTGCAGGTATTGTACAGAGTTATAATTTGAGAAGCAGATAATGTAGAAAATAATCAAGGTATGAGATAAAATTATGTTGGGCAACACTTTAATGCTGAATGTTGGAACAGTCACACAACTCCTGTATCTTTTGGGTTTCCCTGTTTTATATATGAAACCAAAATTGTTATGCTGATTTTCAAACTTTGAAAAAATCTTTTCAACCTTTGTGCAATTGGGAGTAAAACTTGAGCTGCAAATGAACATTGTGTCCATTCTTTCAATAAGCACTAAAGTCAAAATCATTTTCATTCAGCTAATTACGACATTGAATAGAATCATCAAATCATCAAATATTTGCTATTGTTTGAAATGGTTTTTTAGGCATTTGAAATTTCTATAACAAGTTGTGTGGTTCCCCTCTGGTAGATTAGTGGGTTTCACATTTTCATTCTTGCCAGCATAAGTTTCCTTCTGCCCCATAGCTGTTCAGAGCTGCTCCTGGCCTGCAGAGGTGCTGTTGCTGCTCTTATCATTCTCCTAGGCCCAAGGAATTGAAGTAAGACCTTTGAACGTGTGAGGTCCAGATTTCCTCAAGATCTGCAGGAAGTATTGCTCCACAGTTAATCTTGCTTTGACAGATGGGTTAATAAGTTGTAAGCAAGCCTTATAAGGAAATTAATTAAAAACTTAGAAATAAAAAACTTAGAAATACACAAGTACAATTCCCCTGACCTATTACAGGTGAATTTTCAGCACTGGAATATTTCCTTTCATGTATGTGGTTTCTGTCAAGAACTGAAATGAAATAACCCAAGAAAATCACAGCAACAGTATTCAGATGCTTCTTACACAGCCTCCAGCAAAAAGGTGTTTAGATGCCAGTTCCTCAGAGGTCCTCATCTGCCTTCTGCACGGGATACACTATTAGTTTGAAAATGCAGGTCTTTATAGTGACAAGTTTATTTTTCAAGCACTGAGAGGTTTCCAAAGTCACTGCTGTATTCGTCTAAAAGTATTTTTGCACCCATATATTTTCCTCTTTCACCTTCTCTGGTGATAAAATCAAGCAGGAATTAGGTTTTGATTATTCATGTTCAGTCTGTTCCATGGGGGTAGCAGGTTTCTCTGTTTTGATTTTTCTACTCAACAGACAACAACTGATTTGCATAGCATGATTGACCTTGTTTTTCCCTCTGGCAGGGTAGTATCATTTGCTTTTGTGTTTTGAAAACACCATCAGTCCTTCAAGTGCTGCTGAAGGGCAACATTCACCCACCTTTAAAGCCTTTAGAATCTCAGCTAAAAGGCAAGATGAGCCAGCATGGGACCCACAGGCAGTGAAACAATTCACTGTTGTCAGTTCCTGTAAATTTTACACAATTTGGTATCTAATGTCCCAGTTCCAGGAACCACTACACAAAACCCAACTTTTTACTCAGGTGCTTTGCTCATAACTTTGCCCAGGGAAGCTTCAAGGTTTTGCAGAAAATATTTTATTATCCATAATATACTTGTTACTTATCAAAATGCTTTTCTGAAATGTGAAGCTGGCAACAGAAAGCAAGTCAGTGTAAGGACTCAGACAGAACTAATTTCCTGCTACCTTTCCACTCCACTATGGGGATGCCATTTATGGTTGGAAATTAGAATCACAGAATATGCCGAGTTAGAAGGGACCCACGAGGATCATGGTGTCCAACTCCTGGCCCTGCACAGGACTATCCCCAAGAGTCACACCGTGTGCCTGAGAGCATTGTCCAAACGCTTCTTGAGCTCTGTCAGGCTTGGTGCTGTGACCACTTCTCTGGGGAGCCTGTTCCAGTGCCCAACCACCCTCTGGGTGAAAAACCTTTTTCTGATATCCAACCTAAACCTCCCCTGGCACAGCTTCAGGCCATTCCCTTGGGTTCTGTTACTGTTCACCACAGGAAAGGCCATTAAAATCTTCTCGAACTGTGTTTACACCCCTGCACCGGAAACGGAGCTGAAACAGATCTTGTCTGGGTAGGGGGAGTGGGTTAGTTTGTTTGCTTGCATGGGTTACCTGGTGTTATCTCCTTGTTTCAAATAGACCCCTAAGAACACTATGTCTAGGGTGAACTTGAAGGCAAAGTTTCTGGTGTAGGGAGTCTGTGCATGAAAAAGGCAGTTCTATCGACCCCACAGCTTCCAGGCCTTGAGCCATGATTTTTATCTCCTATAGTTTTGAACTGCCCCATCCTTACCCTTAAAAATGCAGTTCTTTGACTGCACAATCATTCCAGCACAAATAAGGATTTTTTTTAGCAGTGAAATGGGCTGGAAACATGGATACATCAGTATGCCCCAAAACAGCAATTAAAACATTATGTCTGAAAAATCTGCTGCCTGTATGATTCAGCCAGAAGAGGAGGGAAACTGGGAGGTGGGTAAAAGGAAAAAAACCTAATCTTTAATTGGTTGGGAGAGTTTGTTTCTGTCTATCACCATCCCACCTGTCTCCCAAACAGATACTTGGCTGAGGAGGAGTTGTGGACCCACATGCACAACTGGTGAAAGCTGATTCTGAGCTTCTCTCAAAGCCTGTGGTGATTTCACGGATAGGGCAGTGGCAGGTTGGTGCAGTGAGTCCAAGTGTTTCACGGCCCACTGGCGTAGAGCATTAACCCTGCTTGACTGCAGTGGCAGCAAGAACAATTTGACCAGTCTCTGCTACTAACTCCCAGTCTTTGTTTCCATTTTGAATTGAGTAGTAGATGAGGAGAAATAGCTTAAGTATTGATATACTCCAAAGTGCCTGCTTTCCACTGAGGCCCCAGTTGACCTGATGCACTCTCCCAGTATGATGCTGGCAGCCAACAGCTGATGCTGCAGGGAATTCCCTTTTGGGCACCGGGTGAGGATCGTGCTCAGCCAGGCTGTACTGGCTCTGGGGACACATGGTCCCCTTTGCTTCTCACAGGGAGAATCATGGGGTTAATCATACAAGCATGACACGCTGCCACTGAAAGAACACTTTTAACCTTCCTCCTGAGATTGAATTTGTGAATTGATCTCCAATGGTGATGAAGGAGTTTGGAGTGCAGTGCTTGAAAGGCCAGGTTTGTTCTCCCTTCTCTGCTCTCATATTTATATGCCCTGTAGGATTAATGCTGATTCTGTGTTGTTTTCATGCAATTTGATCATAGAGTAAGAGGAGCAACTGGAAGAACAGATAACTGTGAGTAACTCACAGCTAACAGTAATACCTGCTGCTATGCAGGTGAGAGAGTAGCTAAAACAGCCCAAAGAACAGCCTGAAGAGTCAGTGCAGTTTCCTCACTCATGCTAGCTCTGTGGGTAAGTTTTGTTGAAACCTGTGACTGTGAGGTAGTGCTGTCGCAGTGTTAGCTTTTCTCTGTCTAAACAACTATCCCGGTCCTATAATAATAATAATACCAAAAAAAAGCCATCTAAAATAATGATATTTTTCCCTTCATGTTAAGCCTTAGCATGTGTGCTGTACTGGTATCTTGCTTGCAGTATTTTTCTGGGCTCTGACTTCTGAATTTGGAGATGAACAAGTGCAAAACCTCTCTACAGACAGAGACACGGTCCAAATACACGAGTGGTAAGTATGACCAATCCCAGAACAAAAAGGATGAAGCAGCAGCTCTTCCTGCCAGCAGGCAGGAGGGCAATCCCAAGGACCATGCTGGTCAGCTGCAGCCCTACCTGTGAGAGAATGGGCTGCTCACAAATGTGGTACCTGTCCAAAGGGTGATAACTTCTCCTCTTCAAAAACAGTGTCTCTGTTTAACAAAGATGCTGGCTGCAAAGCAGTCACTTGCTCTGTGACTCACAGGTGGTCTTAAACTCTCTGTTTGGCAGCCCCAAGATCTGGTCTGTATCAAGAATATTTCACGTGGGATTTTCCGGTTTGTGAGACTCAGCGGTAGATGTGGGGAATACACAGCCATATGGGAGCATTTCACCAGCCATGCAGCTGGCAGCCCTCTCTCATGGGGAGAACAGGCCTCTTCCATGTTTCTCTGTGCTCTGAGGTTACCAAGAGCAGTGTGGGCTGGGAGCCAGTCATGTGGAAACTATTCCAAAAACTGGAGAGCCACTGAAGGAGCAACCCCAACCAGCCTGTAACGCTGCATGCTCTGGAGATGAAGCTAAGTAAATCATCATCTGTGATTGTGCTTCTCCTGAAGTGTAGCCTATTTCAGAGGAATGGTGAAAAAGAGGGAGTGCCATATGCTGTACGCACCATCATCTTTCCTGAAGCTGGGCTACTTTGCCTTTGAATTCTCCCTGCCCTTTATTCTTTAGGGAATTGGTGCAATGTGCCCAGGAGCCAAGGCAGTAGGCCATGAGATCTGCAGCAGGGACTGCATCTTCACATTTTCATGTCAAATCTTGTGCTCTCCACAAGGATGTACAACCCAAGGGGCAAAGATGGGCCTATTCTATTTCTACGGCCATAGTTATATAAGGGCAGCCCCATGACAAGGTCCACATACAGTCCTGATCCACTGACAGTTGTGCTCTTGGCAACAGAGTACCACTTTTATAAAGCTTTGTAAATCACTCCTGCTCATGTAGCCCTTGAACTAGCACAGAATATATTCTCACAGCAAGACCAGACTCTGGGCAAATTTCTTACATTCTGTTGCTAAAAGATATATTTATGTAAAAGAAACAGCTTCATTTTCTGCTCTCTCATTGCAGTAAGGAACTGGGGTATGTGAAGAAAGCTTTCCTTTATCTATTCAGTTGTGGAGATTCACAGTAAAAGCTACTGATGGTGAACCTGGGGTCCCTGGCTCTGCTGCACCTGTCTGCATGCACACAGTCCGGGCCCTGCGCTGGCAAACCCTTGCAGTCGTGCTTTTCTAGATGTTTGTCTCTACCAATCCAACGAAGCTGAAAGGGGCCTTGAGGGACTGCTAAAAATGTTACCTAAACCACCCCAAACTGTGCTAACCCCTACATTCATTTTTCAGTGGCAATTGCTCGGTAACACTTGTGCTTGGTACTTGTGCTTGGTAACAGAACACTGACATTTAATTCCTTTAATTCAGAAATGTGCTGTATAAACTGGTAACTGTTTGCATGTGTGGCTTTTAATTTTCTTTATGCAGCCAGTAAACATATCATAGCCTCAATATGATCGCTACTCTATGTCGTGGTGATTGGCTGTGAAGAAAGGCATCTGCTTCCTAGGTCCCAAAATTGGATGCTGTATATAATAACGTTGTTGAAGTGGTAACACTTTATTATTAGTGCCTCTGTTA